GTGCCAGAGTTGTCCAGCTGCAGAACGGAGGGCACGGCTAGGTGAGCACACAGACTGGGCGCACACCAGAGTTGTCCAGCTGCAGAACGGAGGGCAGGGTTAGGTGAGCACACAGACTGGGCGCACACCAGAGTTGTCCATCTACAGCACCGACAGCATCACATAGACGTCAAAGATCATGCGCAAGGGGTGTCCGAGCGGCAAGGGACAGTGGGCTCGGTGAGTGACGCAGACTACCGTCGCGTGCCAAACTGTCGAACGATGGAACTGCGTACTGCAGGGCTAGACGAGACGTGTAGGAGAGATGGGCCCGCATTCAGCTGCCGCGCTAAAAAGCGCAGACGGCGAGTGAAAACTGACAGCACTGGGGACACATATGACAACGTTGTGTAGCAGAAATGTAGGCGGTGGAACAGATGGAAGCGGTGAGTGAGCACGTGCCTAATTAATCGGTGAACTTTGATTGTAAGCGGCAGGTTAGATGTACGTAGAAAGAACGCCAAATGCGTCAAAAGAGGGACACAAAGACAGAGCGGTTGGCCGGGACGGAGACTGACAAGCTTGTCGTAAACCGCTTCGGAGCACAGATGTTGCTGAAATAAAGGCTGTCATCCATTTTGTACTTTAAGGACGCGACAAAATTCCTGGCACGCACACACAAACACAATCCAGCACGCACGCTGCAAACGTGCGGCACTTTATCGCTCAATACCCTCCATCTTGTCTGGCTTTAGAAGGCGCGGCACGTTGGGATGGAGTGTTAAGCCCATATTTCAGCAGGATCGGGTATTTTCTAGGCAATTGCACCAAGCTGCCCACATTCGCCAGCGCATCGTAGCCGAGATGTGGGACGGCACGGCGGCTGAATGAAGATTAGTGGCACCGCCCCAGCTAGTTCGTGAGCCGCTTCTACGCCGAAGGACGCAGCTACTTACCGCGATCGCCACTTTTCCACATGATCACATCCCCCAGTCCCGCCGTCGCTGTGCTGATGAAAGCACAGCGACGGAGGGACTGGGGGAAAGTTGCAAACGGGACGAGACAGCGTGATTTTTCCATTGCCATACACCTATGACGAGCAGCTTGACATGGTGGGAACTGCGACACAATTCTGCCTCAGATTGCAGCAGGGAAAAGCAATGAAGCCGTATCTGGAACGTGTCCAATAGCAGCACTATTGTTTCATCCCGTCTTCAGTCCACGAATCGGCCGGCTGGCTGGTAGCTGGTAAGTAGCTGGCTGATGATCCAATATGAACACAGGGATCATGTCCATGGCATGTTCCTCGCGCTCGATAGGGGCGATCATTTTCTGGCACTGCCAGAATAATGAGTAGCTGTCTGAGCCATTCCGGACTATATCCTACGTGACCTCATTCGAAAACCGCACTGAAACGGCGGCCTAACGAAACATTTCCTTGACTTGGACGACTCCTCGCGCGACGGGCGCTGATCCCGGGCGTTCAGCGGCGTCACAACTAGGATTTACATCAAATGGAACGAGTCTGACACGAATATTGAGCCAACGCAACTCCGTTCATGACAGCTGCAGACATGCAGCGAATGAGCTGATTCCAATCCAGTAGGCTCACGGATTTACTAAGCAGGCTTGTCATGTGAACGATTTTGATAGGCCCAGGTCTGAGACAATTTTTTTTCCACATCCGCACCAAGCTTACGCACTTATTTGCGTTCCACGCTAGTTACAAGAAATTGCCATACATTTGGAAACGGGTTATAAAATTGTTGTTTACTGTATCTGAACACACTCAGCTGCTATGAACAAACTTTACCTAATCAATGGCCCCCACGGAATATCACCCTCACGTGATCAGAGTTCGAGCCTTTTTCCGAACGTCGGCAGCCGCACCAGCGATTTAAAGAAGCGCCCAACGATCGCCAAGCCCGTTCGCCTCACCTCCCTGGAGCTCGGCTGCCAGCTCTAGCCACGCAGGGGGGGGGAGGAGGGGTGAGAGCCGACCCCCAATAACGGCTGAGCCGTACAGGACTACGGTGCCCGCAGGTGCTGGACGGCGGCGAGTCCACAACGAACTTAGGCGCCCGCACGCGCTGCGTGCTCGATTATCTGCGCTCCAGATTCGAATTTGGAGTGAGTTGGTGCATTTATTCAAGCAGCAGACACACGCTTCCGGTGAATCTGAGAGCCGTCTTGGTGTTATCGATGCGGTCAGCAACGTCTCAGAGCCACAGCGTGCGTCGAATACAAGGGGAACAGGCAAGGCGCCGAGCAAGGATACAGGGAAGGCAGTGCAGTGTAGGATGAAGTTCCTGGAATTGGATAATTGGAACTTTTCGTAGCTTACGCTGGAACAGCCGGGGAGGAAAGAAATCAGCCGGTACCGGCACAACATCCAATCGACGGTGATAAGGACGAGGAGACGAAACGAACGAGGGATTGCAGTAAGTCAATAGCATGAAAAGAGAGCAACGGAGAGCTCGTGATAAATTACTCCGTTCATTCCAGATTGAGGGTACGTGTTGACGAATGCTGAACAGCACGCCAGGACTGGCATGCCATTGACGGAAGCCAGTGCTCACCGCTCACCACCACATATCATAATCAGTAGCGTGCAACCTTGGATCCAGGCAGGGGCAAAGGCGGGGGAGGGAGCAGAGGGCGCACGTAACCCTTACACCTCCCCCAGGTCCCGAGGGGCTCCAATGGCTGGCTGTAGAGGTCGTATTGGGGACCCCAGCCCAACAGGCCAAGAAATGTCAGTCAGAGGACCTTTTGAACAAACTGAGCTCCTAGGATAATGTGGTTATCAGGACCCCTGTATTGATTGGAAATCTCCGTCACCGAACATGGCCAGCTCCCAGTCGATTTGAGCCCTGTGGTCCTTTTCCAAAGCAGGGTTGAGGCCGGGCCTGTAAAGCTCCCTTCTGAAATCCGTGTAAATCAGTTCGTGCCGTTCAAACGTCAGACTGCGGCGTATATTTCAGCAGTACAATTTCGGGATTGTTCGCTCGAGACCACTCGAACTCAAACCCATGCCGAGTTGCGTTGAGCAGAATTCTTTTCCGGATCCACCAGACGGAAGCCATCTTGGCAAGGACAGTGCCACGGTCGGCAAGGCAACGTAACACAAAGCAAAGGTCGTATACGCAACTATCTCCCCGCACTGTTTTGCCATTTACTATCTCTCACCACCCCGCCCTCACCGCATAAATAGACTGCCGCGCCTCTCGTTCCGCCCGTCCGCTGTCGTCCCCCCTCGCTCCCTCACGACAAAAGACGAAGGCGGGAGGGGGGGGGGGGGCGTACGGTTAACCGCCGTAATTAATTCCTCCGCAGCGTCCGTCGTCGACCACGTTCTCGCGGTAAATGTCGGCACATAACGTCGACGAATTAACGTCGGCAAAAACAGCAGAAAGTCGGCGTCGACGGGAGGCTCAGAAGACAGCGTCGTAGCCGTTGAGTTATGTGCAGCTAATGATGATTGGTGGTTTTGGCGTCCTGACTGCGTGATCCGAAGCCAAGATGTGCGCAGCAGGATCTTGGGTTCTCCGCAGCAGTTATTTTTAAAAGCTGCCAAGCTCATACGCATATCAGCAGTGAAAGTTGTAAAGTAGTTGATGCAACTTATATGATATTCCAACGTGGATGAAGCTGGGATTCTTCAACGCTCATCGCAGAGGATGCCTGCAATATGCAAATAGACGTGTGACGTATTGAAAATAGATCAGTGACATATTGAAAACCGTTAGTTCTATGGGTGTTTAGTCTTACGTCGGAGGATAAGGGCTTCAAAAAAGTTTTCTTTTCATCAGCTTATTGTTTAACAGTGCGTCCAATCTAATAGTCTCAGACCATAATGAATGTTAACTAGCCGACAAGACAATATACAGGCTCTGTGCAAAAACACTGGCCGGCACGGTGCATACAGGACATCTCCGCCTGCTTAAGCTGAATGAACAAACTCTAAAAAGCACCGGTCGCTTGCCGTCACTTCGAACGGCTGAATACGCTGCTTGGCCTACACAGCACTCTTTACTTTCACAACTGCAAACCCGAACATGTACATAATTCCTCCAAGCGAGGTCGCCCTGCTCTGGACGATTTTGCCATCCTCATAGCCGCGCTCGGACCGACAGCCCTGGCGATGGGACCACGCGGACGCATTGGACATGCTGCCCATATCCGGTCCGGTGACACGCGATCTTCCGCGCCAGGTCAGGCCGTGTTTACCATGTCACACGAGGCAGACGCTCACCGCCTCTGACGACACACGGGGCAGTGGGAGGCGTCCAGGAAAGGCTCCGGGCCGGCGAGAGACCGCCGGGACAGAGGATGGCTGCGGCGGTGGTCCGAGCGCTCAAAGAAGCACGCCAACAGCCACTGGCGTGTTTCTTCGACGGGATAGCAGGACAAGTCTACGCAGCATAACGCTCCACGAAAATCCGAACGCTGTGAGCGCACCAGACGGACAGCGGAAGGTGTAACGCCACGGCCGACAGCAAATCGGGAGCAGGCCTATCGCAAAGAGAGGAGGAGCGGACAACAGACGGCAGCATTACGTCGGAACACTCGGCAGAAAACACACGGGCACACACACGGGCGTGTTAGGCATCGCCTAACACAGCGTCGAACACGACGACAGGGAGCGGCGGAGCCCGGACCGCCCAGCCGCCGACGCACCTGCACCTGGAAGGGCCGACTCGGAGCGGCGGCGGCGGCGAAGCTTCGGACCGAGCTGGGCATGTCGGCGGTGCGCAGAGCCGCCGTCAGAGCCGTCAGCGACACGGTGCGGCTCGACACTGGGGACACGCGGACAGACGGGTCAGGTCAGATCAGGTCGGGTCAGATCACATCAGATCAAGTCAGGTCAGATTAGCTCAGGTCAGATCAGATCAGAACGGGTCAGATCAGGTCAAATCAGATCAGATCAGATCGGGTCGGTTCGGGTCGGGTCGGGTCCGGTCGAGTCAATTGGATCGGATCGGATCGGGTCAGGTCAGGTCAGGTCAGGTCAGGCTAGGCCGGGCAGGGCCGGGCCGGATCGGGTCGGTTCGGGTCAGGTCGCGTTGGGTCAGGTCAGATTTGATGAGGCCGACACCGGTGACACAGGAACAGATGGCCGGGAGCCGGCTCATCTCATCTCAGCTCACGAGGTGTGAGTCGGGTCTGGCCAGAGACACCGTGCGGGGGGACGCCGGTCACACCGCTGGACAAGCGGTCAGGGGTCAGGTCAGGTCAGGTCAGGTCAGGAAAGGTCAAGCCGCCTTCATTCAGGTCACCCTGGGAGGGGCACGGCACAGGCCGACACAGGGAAACACAGGACAGACGGGCGGGCGCGTGGCAGGTGCAGGATTGATACAGACAGAACGCTGAGACGGACATGTTCTCGTTCATTCAAAAGACATGGTTGCAGATACCTCAATGCTATTTTGCGTGACCTCAACAGTTTTACCAGAACCGACCGCTGATGTTAGCAAAAAACGAAACCAAAAGAACTCAAGATAACAATTATTCGTGATTGACCTGGGCCTGACCGACACAGCACTGGCCAAGGGTCTCACAGTGGTCCATTTAGCAGAAGCATGTCTCTCAAGCCGACACCACCCCTTGTAGCCTCCTCCAAAAACAGCTATATCGAAAGCAACACCCCGCCCCGCCGCCACCTCTTCAGCGGTGCTGACATTAGAACAGTACTAACTTCCTTCCAGCGGGCCAAATATAGCCCCGCTGAAACCCTCACAGCACTCGTCGGTTCCCTGGATCAGAGCTGCTGGATTTAGTATTCATTCAACCGTCACACCGTGTGGGCGGTTGTCCATAGCAACGTCCCAAGCAGCCCCACCGGTCTGATCTGGCGTGGGATGAAGCCACCGGGAGGTTTCTCACACCGAAAATGCCTTGAGCGCGACACAGTCCCGCGGGCTTACCTCCGGTGCGCGGTGACATGCACTGCAGGGTGGCGTCCGTGAGGTCGTCCTCCGCCACCAGGCTGAGGAGTACCGGGCAGCCCGGCACGGGGCCCTGCGGCAGGCAGGGCAGGTGGTCATACACAGGCGAAAGCCGCCCCACAAGGCTGAGGAGTACCGGACAGTCCGGCACGGGACCCTGCGACACGCCGGGGAGACGGTCACACGCGGGCGGGAGCAGGCCTGGCAGATACCCGTCATCTGTCGTGCCTTCTGCCCCCCCCCCCCCCCCTCTCTCTCTCTTTCCCCCGCAGGAGCGGAGAAAGCGATTCATATCCGTGGACGATCCCTGCTGACATGACTAATAGGCTTGCGGTGTGGGAGTGTGTGATCAACCATTCTCGTCCGTGCCGTGTTAACAGCGGTTAAAGGATGCCGGCAGGCCTCGGGAGGTACTGCGTTAGCGGCAGACGCGGGCAATTCGGGTAATGGGTGCTGCTAGACGCATCGTGATGAATGATGCATGAAGGGAAGTGGGTCATGCCAAGCCAGAATAAGCAATGACATGACAGGATTAGTAAGTAGGACAAGGGATAGAAGTAACAGAAAATAGAAGCGTTATTACGGTGGATCAAATAGCACATCAGACGCAAAACGTTTCGTCACAGCACATCCGATCGAATATATTTGTTTTTAAGCGTGCTTCAATAAACGGTTGTCCCTGATGATAGCAAGACTAGTGCAATACCGCTGAGTCAGAGACGGGGCGGGTCGTGCTGGGTCGAGTCCCGTAGACGGCACGCAATCGCGACAATCAGCCTCGCTTAAACCCAGAATCAGACAATTAAACCCTTTCCCCACATGTAACGCTATGTCTATCTCTTGCGCTACCATTTTTTCCGGTGTCGACATTCTGTCCACGCCTTGACCCACAAAGCCCAAACCCTCCGCCGGTGTCAGCAACCCATCGCCATCACCGGCCCGGCCCGGCGCCGCGGCCGCCGCACCTGGGCCAGCACCATGCCGGTGGCGCCATCTGCGATCATCAGCTGACTGCGCGGCAGTCGGTTGACCTGGCCGGCGCCGGGCCGCAGCAGGCCGGCCACCAGCAGGTCAGCGACGCCGTCCGAGGTCAGGTCGGTCAGCAGCAGCGGCGCCAGCAGCGACAGCGGCTGCTCGGACGAGTTGTGGGCGTGCAGGTACCACTCCACCTCGCCTGCCCGGTGTACGAACGGTCGGTGGCATTAGACTTGCTGCCCAGCCGGCTGAGGTCAGGCGATAAGGGCCGTAAAAGTTAGCAATCGCTCGAGTCACTGTCAGTTTGCTACGAACGTCTGGACTGTGGTCGACAGCCAGCCACTGTCGAGTTCGGTTGTCACTATACTTACTGCGCACGATGTTGGCGCGCACGCACGGGATTCGGGTACGGATCTATGGATCATCTTTCAAAAACTCTTTCTGCGGCATTATGGCGTCGCCACAGGGCATCGATGTCGGAGGTCACGACCATGTAGTCTGTAGAAGTAAACTGGCAGAGGTACCGCCTCATCTCAGCCGGGGACACAATCAGGGAACGATTACTGCTGACCCCTTCCCAGGATGACAAATTCGCCTGGATTGCCACATCATGTGCCATGTAACAATGCCCCTACATAAATGGCCACGACGTCTTCACGCACCGAGAGATAATCCGCAGAACATTGCTGCAGTGGCGAAATGTCTCGCCAGGCGGAAGCCCGTTTCCACCCGGCGATCCCCGTCAGATCCGCCGTTCCCTCTCCATCTGCTCCCACGACCGGACTCTCTGCCGATGCAGAGGGCCCTAATCACCCAGACCACCGGCGGACCCGCACGACCCACCCCACGGCGGGCGGCGGCGGCGGAGGGGACCCCACCCGCCCTCTCCCCGCCGGCCGGCGAGCTCACGCCTGTCCATGTTGATGAGCGCCATCATGCGGGAAGGGCCCGTCGCCAGGCACTCGAAGATGCCGTTGCCGTTGAGGTCCACGCCGCCACACTGCAGGTCGGTCGGCGCCTGAGGCACGGACGGGGTCAGGGGCCAGGGGTCAGGTCTGGCGGCGTTCAGTGCTCGTAATGATCGCAGTGGCCCAGCCACACAGCCGCAACAACAGCGGGCACCGGCGGAGGCCAGCGTCAGGCGTCAGGGGCTATGGGACACTGCTCAGGGGTCCGGGGGTCAGGGGTCTGGGACCTGCGGTCAAAGGTCAGTATCAGGGGTCAAAAGTCAGGGGTAGAGGGTTAGGGCTAGGGTCGAGAGGTCAAGGGTCAAGAGTCAGGGGTCAGGGGCCGGGTCCGTCGTTCCGATGCCAGTGCGGGTGGCGGTGAGACACACGACAGTCATAGACCGGCACATGGGCGGATCGATGCCCAAATGTGAGGCGCATTCAGAAGCACGTGCACATCTCGGTCTCCGCATCTGCGTACGCCGTGACGCCTTTAAAAACCCTGGCGGCGGGGAACAGCAGTCTGAGGCAGGGTAACACGCGAGCGCGCACCTCGTACAGCTCCTGCCGCCACAGTTTGGCGGCGCCCGAGCTCTCGACCACCATCACGCCACCGGCCTCCGAGTCTTGGGTCCTGTAGCCAAACACCAGGTCGGCAGAGTCGACGTACACCGCCGGCGCCACTTCCAGCCGCGTGGTCACCACTGCAACGTACACGAACGGCGAGCTCACACCCCGGCCGCGGTCACGTGCAGGCAATCAGTGCTCGCCGATGTGATGGGCCAGGGCGGGCGTGCACACCCGGGGCGTGATCAGCAAGGTAGGTCACTGTGTTGGTGATGGAGGAGCACTAACCGACAGGAGAACTACGCTGTCGGGCTGTTTTTGTCCGCAATTAATGAGAACTATGTGTAGTAAAATCCACCTCAACGGATATGAGAACCTTGGTTGTCACTGTTCTCTCTATCAAGAAATCGGGATCAGTTTCACATTCAATTATCACGCGCTCGGGTGGAGGGTCAAATTGACCCTTCGAAGGTTTTTCCGGGATGGCCTCCGAACGGCGCGGCGCAGCCACACCAAATTTTGCATATCAGTAGACAATTGAGCGGATCTTTTGGTATGACAAAATTTAGATGCATCTTTTAAGGCCGCTGACCTAAGGCAGGTCAAAGTCGGGCCAAGGTTTCAGTGAAGGCAATTTCTCGGGGATCGTTCAATCTGATGCAACAACGGAATGTTAGAAGAGGCCATACGTCTCTGAGATACTTCCTTAGGCAACATAACAATTGAATCAACAAGTTACGGTGACCTAAGGTCGGATGTAAAGGTCAGACCAAGGTCAAACCAGCCTGTTATATTACTCTGGGGCGTGCTGTATGGGGTAGTTTCTGGTGTTCATTTCAGATTTAATGACAACAGGAATCGCATGATATATCTTCCATGGGCTTTTTAGAGGTCATAATAGGTCACTGACCTAAAATGACCCAGGTTAACATTTGGTTTTTAGGAACATACTGTCTAGCGTAATCTCTGTTGGTTATTCAAATGTAAAACTTAAAGCAAGTATGATTTTGGTCACCAATGCCTTCAAAAGGTCAAACAAGGTGGCTGACCTTAAATGAGCATTTGACATTTTGCTTAGAATAGTTATCCAGGTTCTGGGGGCACTTTGGAGAACAACCTGGAATGTGACCTTGTTTGGCCTTATCTGACCCGAAGGTCATTCCCTAGGAACCTCCAACTTTGATCTAAGTGAGTTCATGTACAGGTCAACACATTTCGTGAATTTAGTGTTTCTAGCCCTCTTAGTTTCTGAGATCTCAGGGGGTCAAAGTGACCCCCACCCGGGCGAAGGGTATCCAACCGGCCGCCCGGACGTGTGTTATGTGGCAACATACTGTTCGTTTATTGCGTTAGTCGCGTTTGTAGCGGTAGTACAAGTGGATGTCCATAACCGCTGATGCAATAAGTGAGCCAAGTACAGCAGAGTCCCCTGCACAGCTGGGGGGGGGGGGGGGGGGGGAGGGGCGATGATCGGTTTATGCCACAGACGATACAGTGGCCACAGGAAACGGGACAACAAAATGCTATGTCGGCGCCATGGGTTGAGACTAAATCAATGACACTGCTGGAAATAATCTATGCGGCCGCAACTCTCTACTGAGTTCGAATATGAAGCTGTTAACCGTAAGTAGTACGGCGCTTCAGCCTCGACAGGGCCTTAGTACTGGTACTGCGACAGCCTACAGAAGACAATTGCGCGTTGGAATAGCAAATCACTGGTGCTACTTGATGCGACATAGCAGTCACATAAATGCCATTATGCGGGCCATTTTAACGTGATGACAGAACTAACATTCACCAGTAATGAAATGGATAGAGCACGTCGCGTATGATGATATGGTCACGTAGCATGCTATTATATGGCGTTATAGCTTTTGGTTGTGGAAAACTAGCGAAGCCACCACCTGAAGAGGGCCCGACACAGTCATCTGAAAACTTAGAGAGAAAACTATATATTTTGTCATCACACGGAAGAAGCCAGAAAATACTTAACGTCAAAACTTTCAACTTTCAAGCATGACGTTAAAAGACCACGTATTGGACGCGCTACCTTATTTACTTCGTAGATATTATAGCACCAATCGCACGCCAACTGTTGTGCAAAAAAATGGCACCACCAATCCAGAAAATCATACACCACAGTCCAACAATTCATCGTGTCTCAGCTCGAGGACGAGTCTTGCCGCGTGAGGCACAAACCGGCCTGAGAATCCGCCAATTGGAGGCCGAGAATCCCAGCGGCCGCAGACAGGGCCAGCCAGCCAATATCACAGCGGCGCGCCGTTAAATGTGGACAGTTATGTCCCATTCTGCCGCTAAATGGTTATCCACCTGAGTGAGAATGAGGGCAGCGGCATCAGGAAGGATACTTCCGCGGTAAAAATGCGGAGAAATGCCCCGCAGGTCTAGCCCGAAACGAAGGCAGCGGTTCTCGCGCAAGACCAGCAATCTCAGAAACACTCTAGTCCGGTGCAGCAGTTAGGAGTACCCAGCTGCACAACACCCCATTGCACCCCTGGCCGGACCCACGTCTGGATACCAGATGTGGATCCTGGGCCCGGCAGGAGCATTCGGCGCAGGACGCGGACCACGGGATCCGCCTCCGGATTCCGGCAGGTATCCGCCTGCCATCAGGAGTCTGGCCACAGCCCCGCCTCCTGGACACGTCGCAGTGCGGGAATGGGCCACGGCGACGCCACGCGCTGGAAGACGTGGACGCCGGGATTTCGGAACGGCTCACGGAGTGTCCTTTCATATTTTCTGCGTGCGTACGACATGCTTTAATATGATTTTAGCCAACTGCCAATGCACCGTTGACCTTTGTGTGTAACGTCCTTATCCCCGCCACACACATCAAGCCGTGTTCGCCAACTGTGCGGAGCAGTCCCCTCCATCTACTCACCGATGCCCGGGAACATGGTCTCGTAGTCGCGGTGTACGGAGGACTGCTGGAGCGGCAGAACTGAGCTCCGGCAGCCGTACCACCGGCACGGCACGAACCACACGGCCACGCTGCAGGCTGCGGCGGCGCCGGGAGGCGCGTCACACAGCGGACCCGCACAGCCGACGGGGGGGGGGGGAGGGGCGGTGAAGAGGGGGCGGGGGTTAGACGAAGAGGGGGCGCGGGTCAGAGGCGCCAGCTGGAACACGCGGTGTAACATTCAAGAATCCTGGCACGCACCTCCGCTCACACACGGACGCTTCTTCACGGCGATCGGCGGTGACGTCCTAATGATTTCTCATGATTGAAGGAAGTGAAGTATTGAGGTGAGCAAGTTTCAAGGGCACAATGGAGAGGAAACACGACAGCGGCCAAGACATTCTTAAAAAGTCTTAAATGTGTTGCTAGTTTTAGGGCTGAAAATATTACATAAGCACCCATGGTTATCAATTCCGCATGTCATTAGCCCGGTTAATTCCGAAACCCTCCGTTAAGTTATCATCCACAGTGTCGTCCGTTCGTAATCCCGCAGACTCATACTCTTTTTTCATCATCGTTGGGCAGAACCTCGATAAATGAAGATGTTGTTAGTGGTCTCTTCTTTTCTCTGAAAAGAGGGACTAAAGCAAAAATGTCTTTTTTACAATTTTTCACACCTAAGCTGCACCTTTAAGCGGCGCGCTGAGCTACCTGGATGTTAGATTTCTAACTATTTTGAATGGGTGAGTAATCCATTAAATGTGCCTCTTAATTATGGTTATCAGCATGCAGAAGGATAATCTCAAACACTGTAGTGCTTCCGCTCTCCAATTTTTTTTCCAATTAAGTGTCACCAGCCCCGTCTACAGTCTTACGCACATTCCTGTCACCAGTACACAGCCACCCTTCCATCCCCGGGCAGCGTGACCAGCACCCACCCACTCTCCCATCCCCGGGCAGCGTGACCAGCACCCAGTCATCCTCCCAACCCCGGGCAGCGTGACCAGCACCCAGTCATCCTCCCATCCCCGGGCAGCGTGACCAGCACCCAGCCACCGTCCCATCCCGCCGCGCCGACACCACTAAGCGCCGCCCAACACCGCCAGCCGCGTTACCAGTTAGTACAAGCAGGCAGGTGAGGGCGAGGCAGGCCTTTTTTGAGACGGAGAGCGCCGAACGGACCCGTACGTCCGGTGTTCCCGCCTGCAGCGCTCCCAGCGCGTCCTCCTCGTCCAGCAGCTGGTACCGCTTCACCGGCCGCGTGGCCGCCTCTGCCGACAGGCGGCGCCACCGGCGCGTCAGCGGGCGCGGCGCCAGTCAGCAGCCAGGCGGCAGAGGAGGCGGGGAGGTCTGGTGGAGTGTACTGGGAGGCGGTGCGTGGGAGGGGGAGGGCAGTCAGTGGTCTGGCAGCAGAGGAGGCGGGGAGGTCTGGTGGGGTGTACTGGGAAGCGGTGCGTGGGAGGGGGGAGGGCAGTCAGTGGCCAGGCGGCAGAGGAGGCGGGGAGGTCTGGTGGAGTGTACTGGGAAGCGGTGCGTGGGAGGGAGGAGGGCAGTCAGCAGCCAGGCGGCAGAGGAGGCGGGGAGGTCTGGTGGAGTGTACTGGGGAGCGGTGCGTGGGAGGGTGGGAGGAGGAGGGTGGACAGTCAGCAGCCAGGCTGCAGAGGAGGCGGGGAGATGTGGTAGGGAGCACTGAGGAGTGGTGGGGAAGCACTGGGGAAGCACTGGGGAAGCGCCACTGGTGAGAGTGAAACGTGGGGACGGGGAGGGCAGACTGGGGTGGTCACTGGGGCGTGCTGGAGAGCGCAGAATGTGTCCAGGGTGGGGTTGGGGGTTGGGGGGATGTTCATGAGGATACAGTAGCAGTGGAAGACATTACAACTACACGCGAGGCATTCGTTTCCCGACACATTAAAGTTACGTTATAATAAAGGTCTAGCAGCGAACACTGCCATAACGCCTTCATTAGCACAACAAACGACCCTGAATGAGCTCATACGCCACAAACATGCCTCGTTTCACGACAAATACCCTACTGTCCCGCTACATCATCAAAACGGTCATCGGATCAAACGAAGGAAGCGCTTATGAGGCATAAAACCACGCCACGCCACGGTATTGCCAGCATTGCCATCCTAACTACTATCAATAGTACCAATCTAACTACAGAAACAGGTGCGATGAGTCGCCTCTCGAACAACACAAACGTACGCTCGAGGGCGGTTCGTCCCCCCCCCTCCCCCCCTCAGCCCACTGATCACACCTCACTTCACCGCCGCCGGCATGGGCAATGTTCAATCGCAGCCACGTAGCCTTCATTGGGGGACGGAGCTGCGCTGCGCAACAACCAGGCCGTGTCGTCGTGAACACTTGGTAAAAGTGCAAAACGCACGGGCGTTTTATCTAGCGGTGCTTTGTCTTGCTGCATCATTCTGAATCATTTGCTCAAACGGCGTTCGGACCAACGCCATCACTAAACACAGTTTGTCGCGTGGACGGCAAAGCAACCGGTCACTTCAGTGGTCTTAGAGGTTCTTGGTGGTAAGTGGTCACTCAAGAGATTCAGACCATTGAATTTTAGACCCTAAAGCAGTTCACAATGTATCCCCAGCCTGATAATACCGCGGTGCCGAGCAACTGCTACTCGTGACGTGACACGCCATGGCACATCCGCCCGTGCCATGGCACATCCGCCCGTGCCATGGCACATCCGCCCGTGCCATGAATTTACCCTGGAGTGAGAGGAAACGCACGAACAGATGAGATGATGTGTACTGGTACAAATGCGTCCACCGCGCGCTCTGAAACGAGACGTGTGTGCCTGCCCTGCCCTCCCCCCCCCCCCCCCCCCCCCCCCACAACACCACATCAACGCCTGCGTCCCCCCACTCTAGCGAGGTAGCTGAGAGCAAGCCTTCATCTGACGACAACAGTTGTAAGCCTCCACGTCCCGAGGAGGAGCTCTTGGTGCCGTAAGGCGGACAGCGGCCCTCGACGTTCCCTGCCGCCCCCAGACAGCAGCTCTAGCCGTCCCCAGACAGCGGCCCTCGCCGTCCCCGGCCGCCCCCAGACAGCGGCTCTCGCCGTCCCCAGACAGCGGCCCTCGCCGTCCCCAGACAGCGGCTCTCGCCGTCCCCAGACAGCGGCCCTCGCCGCCCCCGGCCGCTACCAGATAGCGGCCCTCGCCGTCCCCGGCCGCTCCCAAGCAGCGGCTCTCGCCGTCCCCGGCCGCTCTCAGACAGCGGCTCTCGCCGTTCCCTGCCGCCCCCAGACAGCAGCTCTAGCCGTTCCCTGCCGCCCCCAGACAGCAGCTCTAGCCGTCCCCAGCCGCCCCCAGACAGCGGCCCTCCCCGCCCCCGGCCGCTCCCAAGCAGCGGCTCTCGCTATCCCCGGCCGCTCACAGACAGCAGCTCTCGAAGTCCCCAGACAGCGGCCTTCGCCGTCCTCGGCCGCGGCCAGACAGCGGCCTTCGACGTCCCCGGCCGCTCCCAGAGGGGGCACCTACCTCGGAAGGCGCTGGGTGTGGCCTGCAGACTGGGTTTGGCCGGCCGGCCGGCGCGGCCGCGCTGCCGGCGGGGCGGCCGTGTGTACAGGTCATCCTCCTCGTCCGAGGTCAGCTCCGCCGTCTCAGTCACCGGCAGGCGCGCGTACTCGGCGGTGGTCCCCGGCATGGCGCGGGATTCGGGTCAGGTCACGAGGCCTGCGGGATCACGTCGGGGTCAGGTCATGGAGCCTGCGGAATCACGTCAGGTCAGGTCACGGGGACTTGCGGGATCTTGTTGGGTCAAGTCACGGGGTCTGCGGGATCACGTCGGGTCAGGTCATGGGGCCTGCGGGATCACGTCGCGGTAAGGTCACGGAGGCTTGCAGGATCCTGTTGGGTCATGTCACGGGGCCTGCGGGATCACGTCACGGTCAGGTCACGTGGGCCTGCGGCAGCTTAGGGTATCAAGTCAGCGCATCAGGCTGACAGGTCCGGCCACAGGGTTCGCAACAGACAAGCTCTCAGGTCTCACGTGACAACTGGCCTGGTCTGGCGGTCTGCAGGAAGGCTACGGGAGGTCAGGTCACGATTGCAGCAAAGAGCCCACATAACGTAACAGGCGAAGAGGGATGTCACGGGATTTACAGCTGGTCTGCAGTTACCGCCCACGTGCCTCCTCCAAGCCCATTGATTATCTCGTGCAGCCTTTAGCCGCGTGACTGAAACCTGGACATGGAACCGTCATGGCCGATTTCGGAGACTTCAAATTAATGGTGCAATCATTTCACAATAGCCAGCCAATGCGCCAGACCTCCCCTTATCGTCCAAAACAGTACCGCGGCCAAACAACTGAACATCATATCGCGTTCAACGTCAGCGTCCTCCAATCATTTGGCAATAGCCAGCCAATACGCCAGACCTCCGCTTATCGTCCAAAACAGTACCGCAGCCAAACAACTGAACACCATATCGCGTTCAACGTCAGCGTCCTCTTCTGGTAGCTAACTCTCCGGTGTATTGGCGCCGCTCGTGAGCTAAAAACGCAGACTCTCCGCGCACGCCGCCCCACGCCGGTACTGTTGTTCGCGGTAGGTGATCCGTGCACCTTTCACCCGTACCAGTATCTACTGTCGTCACACAAGCCCGCATATGATTCTTATCGCGCCGCTAGTACGTGTCATATGCTAACTCGCGCCACTTCGGAAAGAGAGCGGAATGGGAAGCCGATTCCCGGCGCATGACAGTCATGTGTTCATTGCGCCAGGGGCCGAGTCGAGACACAGGCGGTGATGGGTCTTCCTGAGACGTCTTCCTGAGACGCGCCGGGGCGGACCAGACGCGCGACGCATGACCTAAGCTCGCTGCTCCAGCCACGCGGCCCATCCTATATCGCGGGAGATAGTCGGCCTTATCTTTCGAAAGATGACCCACTGTCTGCACAAGCGCAGTTGTCGGCAGGTTTCAATGGTGGCAAATCACAGGACAAGCTGAGTGAAGCAGGAAGGGACCCCGCGCATGACTGGCGGCAGGAAGAATATCAGGTAAGCGCAATGTAAATCATCTCAATCCAGTATTCCGTAACGCATTTCTGGGATAATTTCAACCCATATTGCGTGTAAATGAGAGCAATATTGACAATCCTCCCCACGATAGGCGCGTCCTGTCGATGCTAACAGAGGTCACCGTATCATGCCAGTGGCTATGGCATACTGCGCCCGCGCTGCCCCCGCCGAGATGTACCTGCCGTCCGTTCTCAGCCCAGCAGACGCCGTCCGCCCGCCAGCCTGCGCACCGGGCTGGTGCCCTTACGGTGTACCTTCGGCGCGTCACGCGGCCGTCACACAGCGCGCGCAGTCACGCCGTATCCTGAATCACGCCTGAATCACGCACGCCTGAACCACACCGCTCGCCCACCGGGCGCGGAGCGGCACGTCCCACCGAGCGAGTCGCGACCGCAGACTGCCTCCGACCGGCCCGACTGTGACGTCACCAAGGTCTGACGTCACGGCCGCTCACGTGGCGGAGCGGGGGAGAGGCGGTCGATGGGAACGACGTCACCGACGACCCCGGACTGCAGAGGAGAGGGGCCGTGGGCGGCGTTGGGGAAGACGGCGCTGCGGCGGCGGCAGGCACCGAGCACCGCGGAGGCGGGAGAGTGCGGAGTCGCACGGGGCAGACGGCGGCGGAGCACCCGCATCCGACTTTGGCTGTTTAAGAGCTCGAGGGCGCTGCGTGACGCCTCCCCAGACCCGTTCCTGGAGCCGCCCTTGCGCGCTGCCCACTCCGCCGCGCCCCAACCCGCCCGCATTGCCGTCACCCCAGCGGGCGCCCGGCGGCGCCGCCACCCCGCCGGCCAGCGGCTCACTTCAGCCGCCCTCCCCCACGGCGGGTGGAGTGGCCCCCAGCGCCGACACCGGGTTTGACGACCTGACGCCGGGCCTGCACGCTCCAGTTCGCGGTCCGTCGGCCAGATACGGGTCACAGACTGGCGGCAGATAAGATAGGCGGACGGACAGGAGCGGCGGCGCTTCCGGATGAGGCCTGGATTGGGCGGCAGAGGGCGGGTTTACTGCACGGACGCGGGCGACACCCGGACGGTACAGTGCATCACACGGGCGTGGAACGCTTCCTCGCCGACATGTGGCGCTGCTACACTCAGGAGAGAGGCGCGGTCTTTATTTCGTCGACGTCCTCTGCGGATACTGGGTATACATGGTCTCTTGATAAACGCGTAACGACACGAACAAACAAGTCCCGCGTGGCGGCTGCAAGAGCGCCATTACAGAAGCCGTATTACAGAACATCGCCAGTACGTGAATGGTGGATAGCGTGGACCAAGCGTATAACCTGGGACGGAAGGGTGTAGACTGGAACAGCAAACAACACGTTCGAATTACAGCTTATGTGATGACAGCAAACACACAGCAAATGCGACTAGGCAAGCACCAGTAACATCGTTGATAACAGCAACGCCTGTTACAGCAAGCTGAACTTCGGCTCCTACGCGACAACGCCGCAAATGTGTCGCGACAGCTGAGGACTAGTTGTGATCCACGCTCAGGCACCGCTGGCCTCTGGCGGCATCCGATGGGCGCCGCAAAGCCTCACAAAACACATGGACGGATGAGATCACTGCGTCATATCTGTGCTCGCGCGAGATCACCGAGATCACACGCTGTAACCAGCGTTGGTCATCAACCCAGTCCGCAATGAAGAACGAGTGAAAGATGGACAGCTCGGGTTCTACCGCCGCTAAGCAGAATAGCTATACGTGTTGGTGACTGTCTTGCACTGAGCGCTATCTGCAGTGACGGTCACCACAGCTCGCTTCCATGACGTCGCTCCAGCGCTACTTTCGCCACTGTCGCCGACTCAGGCTCACCACGTCAGCCCACCGTCAGTTTCCACCCGGCCGCTCCTACCGGGCTCGGACCTCATCCCCGCCGCGCGAAGCCCGCGCCCCGCCGACGCTCTCCCGCCGGCCGCCGGCTCAGAGCTCGTCATCCTCGCCCTCGCGGAGCCGCGCCATCTGCCGGTGGAAGTCGGCGACGATGCGGTCGACGGCGGGCGGCTCCAGCTGGTGCGGCTGCAGGTGGGGCGGCGGCCGGCCGGCCGGCCGCGGCATCTCCGCGTCGACGGCCGGCGCCGGCGCGCAGTGGAAGTACGGTTGCAGCAGCGCGGCGCGCGCCGCCAGCCGCGTGTCCGAGCGGTAGACGAGGAAGCGGCGCACCAGGTCCACCGCCTCGGGCGGCGCCTCCGGGAAGAGCACGTCCACGCCGGCGGAGCGGAACTCTGGGAACGGGATCTTGTTGAAGTCCGGCAGCTGCGACATGCCGGGCCATGTTTCCTCACTGGGCGAGCCCAACGTCTTCAGCACCACCAGCAGTTGGTCGATGTCGTTGTCGCCGCGGAAGATGGGCGAGCTGTTGAGCAGCTCGCCGAAGATGCAGCCCACCGCCCACAGGTCGACGCCGTGATCGTACTTGCGCGCGCCGTACAGCAGCTCGGGCGCGCGGTACCAACGCGTGGCCACCTGGTGCGAGTACAGCCGGCCGCGGTCCAGCACGCGGCTCAGACCGAAGTCCGCCAGCTTGAGCGCGCCGCCCGCGCTGATCAGCAGGTTCGCCGGCTTCAGGTCGCGGTGGACGACGCCGTGCGCGTGCAGGAAGCCGGTGCCGCGCAGCAGCGACTGCATGTAGCGCTTGACCTGCGCCGGCAGCAGCGGCCGCGCCGCGTCGCGCAGGATCTCCGCCAGGTCGGTCACCATGTGCTCGAACACCAGCACGAAGCCGGGCCCCTGCGGGAACACGTCCAGCAGGCGCACCACGTGGCGCGACTCGAGGTGCTGCAGCGTCTTGATCTCGCGCAGCATCGTCAGCGGGATACCGTCCTCGAGTCGCTTGAGCGGCACCTTCTTCAGCGCCACCGTCTCGCCCGTGATCAGCGACTCGGCGCTGAGCACGACACCGTGTGCGCCCTCGCCGATCCGCGAGATCACCTTGTAGTTGTTCATGGCGCGGTGGCACGGTCGCAGACTCGGGCACCGCGCTGGGGCTGCCCGCGGTCGCTGGGCTGGAAGCTGCGCTGGAGTTGAACTGGAGGTGCGCACGGTGGTGGCGTGGAGATCACGAACAGACACTGCCACTGAGAGCTGGAATGTGACGGCTGTTGAGCTGGCTCGCCTTGTGAGAAAATCGCACAAGCGAACTTGTTGACAACAACACGACTTGTCACAACTTGAAAAAGGGTGTTTGTTCAGTCAAAATGTTGGGGTGCTGGATACTTCTCCCCACACACCCTGCCAGTGGATTGCCATCTTTTGCAAAATATTGTAATGAAGACCACAAAATTGTGGCTTTGTTGTCAATGAAATCCTGATTTCTTCTGTTCAACCATCATGGCCAGTGCACCTGCAATGTGCAGCCAATTAGTGTACAAATAGGAATGCACATACATCTTGTTAGCTTGACAAGTATCCCTTGATGCATGGCCAAGATGGCTGCACTGGTTTCAGCATGCGCTTTTCAATTGACACTTCTAGCATGGTATTGCTCTTCATCAATGCACACACGCAAAGCTTATCTTGCAGGATGGTGATGCTTCAAAACTAAGCAACTGGGTGGTTACTTAGCCAAAATAATAACCACATTGCTGAGCTGAATGTCAATTTAAGGTTTACCATGAGTGGTATAACATAACCAACTTCAATATACATGGTGCACATTTGATATATGTAAATATGAATATATTTAGATACACACTTTGCAGTTGTTCTTTAAAATACATCAGGAACCACTAAATATTTTTGATCTAGAAACCATTCCAACACAGCTTACCTAGAGTGAACATTTTGACAGACCACCCGCAGGCTACTGTCCAGATTCATGAGCAGAGATATCATACTGTTAATGCTGGAAAAAGCAAATATACATGTAACATGTGACATATCTGTAGACAGTCACTGGTATTCTAAAGCATAGCAGCTCTCTAGCTTCTATGCTATGCTAGAAGGGAAAATAGTACCCAAATACATCCTACTATTGGTTAGAAGTCACTATAGTCACAATGCCATTGTAACTGGGTGCATTAATTTGTGTGCAACTCTCTTTTCAGGCCTTCAACCATTTTGATGATGTTTTGGTTCTGCTCACAACAGACGTCACACAACAATACTTTTACTCTCACTCATGGTTTACATAAAAAACAGGGCTCAAAAAGTAGCCTGTTGTTGGTTTTTATCCATCCCTGGTACTCCATCCTTCACTGTTTTGATCTATTATTGCACACTGTCTCATTGTGACAAGTCACACAATGCTTATTTTGTAAACTGCTGAGTTTCCTGTTGGACAGCTGTGACTTGTGTCCACAACATAACATGTCTCATGAAACTGCATAGCTTTCCAAGGTAACAAAATTTGAAACATTGAGCTTTTAAACCTGGCCTGAGGGAACACTTTCTGATCAATTGGTCTGTTCCTGTATTCACTGACTGCACCAAAGATTACCTAGACAATTCTGGTGAACTTAGTATCACCTGATGTTGTTATTAATAATAAACAAAGATGACAATATGCACAAAAATAGTTATTACATATGATATAAAATTGCATATAGTTTGTTGATTGTGCATATGCCACATATATGCTTTATTATATGAAACCATACAAATTACTTAAAATATATTTTATCTGCACCAATTTCCACAACAGCCCTTCCTACCTGTTATAACAACAAATGGATCCAAAATGGCAACAAATGGACTGCACCACCAATGTATAACATATCCCTCAACACTCCACAAAAAAACACAATTCAAGTAAAAGCAGGTTGGCAGCAGGCTCTCAGGGGCTTGGGGGAGGTTTTAGGACCCATAGGAACTATCAGATTAGTTTGGAGGAGCTTTTTGGATGTTAGATAAGGAAAAAGGAGTGGTGGGTACAGGCCCAATGAGTGACCACATTACCAATAATCCAGCACTGGTCATGGGTGATAAGTGTTATGGTATTGAAACACAGAAAATGCTTGATAAAAGTGTGTGCCGATGATGAAAGTCCTTACCCAACCAACCAGGGTACTTCAGTAGATGGATTTAAAGAATACAGACGGGTCCACTCCAAAAGGCGTATGTGGGCAGGTAATACCTGCCTATTTATGCGCCACCGGGAACGGGATACCGAACTGCACCTTTCCCGGTGACTGCAAACGACAAAAAAAATTTGGTTAGAGCACAGCCTGAGCAGCATTAACCTACCTAGGCGGTGTCACTGTGCCGTTCTCTGACTGTTTCCTGGTTCCACATGATCATACACTTTCGGCACATGTCATCCATGGAACTTGCTACATTCCACAACAATGTTATGCCGCATGAACGCTATAAATGCCCGTGTCACAAGGGTTAAGCTTGTCTGTCAGTATTCAATCCGGCGTATTCTCCTGAACAGAGAAATTTGTTCAAAATTATTAAATCGAATCATTTCTATTAATTTGCGTAAATCTTATCAGCTTCCATGTTGCAAGCCCGTGTCTTATTAAAGCTCCTGATATTTTTGTTTACTTGTGCTTTGCCACGACAATGAAGACGACAACTGGCGCAGCTAACCTTGAGTCACCATTACGCGGACCGTCAAAGTAAAGCGGTAACCCGAGCGGTTATCTTCGTTATCATTTGCGGCTCCTGGCGGCCGTGCCGATTTTGGTGCGCAAAGCAACCAACGCCGTGTGAAAGGCAGCTGCATGCCCGTAGTTTTCAGTAACGATCAACCGCAGATATGGTTCAAACTGCTGATATTGTTTCAGACTCAGCAGCTCAGGTCAGTAGCTCGGGACGGTAATGTTTTGGTGGAGCTGGTTGCAAAATCTGTCCGGGAACAATGAAATCGCCGGGGTAGACTTCACACTGACGCCATTGACCCTCATTAAATGGTACATTGGGTAAAGGAGGGTGCTCAAATTGTTCACAGGTGCCCCATACATCTGCTGATCAGAGTATTGTGCTCAGACTACCAAAAATGTGTTATGTTGAACTTGATGTAGCATTGCAGCACCAATGTCAGTACATATATGTTGTAAGTTGGTCAGGTCAGTTTGTGCATAACTGTCCTTAATTTAAGCCCACAGAGAGCCAGCATTTTAAGCAATTATGATGGTTAGCAGCAATTATGATAGGAATTTCAGGTCAACATACTCTGAAAACATTGTTTGCTCAAAACAATTGGAAAAGAGCACTGATCACCTGCCGGTGTGCAAAAAGAAGCAGATCACTTGACAGTATGTTAGGGGCAGACCTGATGCTGCCCCAACTGGGAAAGCCACTTTGATGGTTATTGCAGTTGTTGTGCCTTAAAACACCAATGATGAACAAAGGGGTGAGGACAATGATTTGATGACTATGTTGGGGTCTCCAAGACTTTGCTGACAAGTCAATGTGTACCAATAAAGTACATATATGAAGGTGCCATGCCCTCTTCCCAAGTATTACGCGTCATCTCATGTGAGGCATTCCTGACCAGAGAATTAAATAACATGCCCGAAATGTTATGCTTGCCTGTCATTGCTTTAGTAGGTGTACTTTCCTACCTAACATTAGAAAAAATCATTGCACGCCATTCGTCGTGTTCAAGGCGGCACATATCGTAAATCATCTCAAAACGGGTAGAATCATGCTCCTACCATCGAATTTCAATAACTTCGATGGCGAGCTCCCGCGCGCCGCGCGCACCGCACCGCCTGGACTCCCCAGCGCCGCTTCTGCGTTGCCGTTGCGTAAATACAATATTTCTGCTTACCAAGAACTCTACAAAATGTGCGGGACCAAGGTAAACCATTCGTCGTGTTTAAGGCGGAACATATCGTAAATAATTTCAAAACAGATAGAATCATGCTCCTACCCTCAAATTTTAATAAATATGATAGTGAGCTCCCGAGCGCCGCACGCCCCGCACCGCACTGCCTCGACTTCCAAGCGCCGTTTCTACGTTGTTGCGAAAGCACAATATTTCTGCTTATCAAGAACCATAAAACATGTACGGGACCAAGGTAACAATAATAAAGCAACCAAAATCGTTTCTTATCGAGTTTAGGTACATTTATGAAACACGCAGGCCAGAATAGTCCAGAACATATCCTAACCTAACCTAACCTAACCTAACCTAACCTAACCTAACCTAACTGAGAATAGACCAGAACCTAAGCTAAGCTAAGCTAAGCTAGCCTGACCTGACCTGACCTGACCTGACCTGACCTAGCCTAACCTAACCTAACCTAACCTAACCTAACCTAACCTAACCTAACCTAACCTAACCTAACCTAACCTAACCTAACCTAACCTAACCTCCCCACCCTATATCCCCTTCAACCCAGCATCTCATTGGCATCCATGTTCCATGCCATATATAGGTGCCATATAGTGAGCTTTTATTTAGCTGCCATGTTCTCATTTTGCTTTAAATTCCCCACCCAATCCCCCTGCAACCCATGGTCCCGTTGGCGTCGAGGATCAAATTTCATGGATTCTTGCTACCTTGTCCCGGTACATTTTTATGGTTCGCAGTAAATATGGTTTATAGTTATAGTATGGTTTATATAGTATAGTTTATAGTTATAGTTATGGTTTATAGTATGGTTCGCAGTTAATATGGTTTATATGGTAAATATGGTTATGGTAAATATGGTTTATGTTTAGTAAATATTTTTATGGTTCGCAGTTAGGTTATGGTTGTCCTGCCGTAAACATGACGAAAGGTTTACTTTCGTCCCGTACATTTTGTACAGTTCTTGGTACGCAGAAATATTGTATTTACGCAACGGCAACGCGGAAACGGCGCTGGGGAGTCCAGGCGGTGCGGTGCGCGCGGCGCTCGGGGGCCCGCCATCGAAGTTATTGAAATTCGAAGGTAGGAGCATGATTCTACCTGTTTTGAGATTATTTACGATATGTCATGCCTTAAACACGACGAATGGTGTACAATGATTTTTTCTAACGTTAGGTAGGAAAGTACACCCTGACCCTTTACCTTTCCTTGCCTGTTCTTTTCAGAAATGACCTTTCTAGGAAACTGTAATAATTGTAATTCATTTATGTCAGTAGACACCTAGATAGCATTCTAAATCTACATGTGTATTGCCATATGCAGCATGATCAAAATTGGTTGCTCTGACCAGCATGTACCAATCAGAATGAATAAGCACTTGGCTGTTTCTGGTGTTGCACTGTAGTCAACTGATGTATGGTATGAGATAAGAATCCCCAGAACATGTAGTTTTTGTTCATGAACCAATATAGTATTAATCCTTAGATAGATGGACAGAGCCAGGGTGAGCCCTTTCTTCAGCTAAGGCTGTTTCAGCCGAGCCTGGGTTATGCCTCATTTAGATGGACTCTTTTGAAGTAAGGCAACATGATTAGGATCAGATTTTAACATGTTAATACAGCATCTTGAAATTGCACTGATATAAGCCAGTGGCATGTCTACCCCCTGGGAATGTGCCCAGTATGTTGTCACCTGCCTGCAACCCCTGTCTGACTGCCATGTTTCCATACTGGCAGACACCAACTCCAGGTGTGGCTATGACCTCGCTGCTGATGGAGGGGGCATCGGCGCTAGAGGTCATGACTTCCGTCAACGGCGACCCGGGCCCGGACGGTGCGGCCGGCCGGCTGCCGGCCCACCTGCCTGATGAGGGCATCGCAGGCCAGCAGCTCTGGACGGCTGTCAAGGTGAGCAGGCGCACTGATTAGCACCGGCCTGGCAGTTAAGGTGTGGTGACAGGATGAACTTGTGTTGGTTTGGTGGTTTTGTGATTGGTTTATCTTGTTGGAGCGGGCTGTTCATCAGGAAGTTTCCTGGTTTATTTTGTTGGAGCGGGCTTTTCATCAGCAAGTTTCCGCTGTGGTTGGAGAACTGCAAAGAATATTTTGTACGGCCGTTGTCGCCCTGGGTCGCGGGAAAGTGACGTTGATGTGGCATGGGGACTTGGGGATGAATGAGCTCATTGTCTGGGTCAGTTTTTCTGGAGAAGCTACACATCCAGGCTTCTGTCAGAATGCGCTCTTAGACTGCTCAGAACCACTATTATGAGTCAGCATACTGGCACGCCACTGCAGGTGTTGACATGTTGCGATGACATGGTAGGCTGCGGGAACAATGCGGCATATTAAAAAAATAACGGCTCGTATCAAGCAAACAGAACAGAGGCGATCTGTGGTCATTGCAAAACACCATTCATCACAGACGTGATAAGAGTCGGTGTAGAGCAAGGACGACCTGTGGGTGGCGGCGCCGCTGTGTGCCGCATCTGGCCACCATCAGCCGCCTGCCGCCGCTACTGCGCTGCGCCGATGGCCGAGTTAGGGGTGACACCCGTGCGCGGTGTGGTCGCTGCGATGTCCACACAGCTGAGCTCACAGCCGGCCCTGTGCCCCCCCCCCCCCCCCCCCCCTCCCCACCCGGACAGGTGGCCTAGTGTGGTGGCAAACTTGTTTATCACCGCCGCAGGTGCCGGCCATATTATAGATACCAGAGCATGATGCAAACTGTGGGCTTATGTCGGCGGTCAGGCGGTGGAACTTTGCTGTTGGCCCGAACTGCCGTGCTGCCGTGAATGCGCAGTGCATTTCATGCTGCCAGGCTGCGACCCGTGCATGGACTGCATAGGGCCTGAAGGTAGTTGTTTGTCCTGACATTGTATCCGACCATGTGCAAAACAGACCCGGGCGACTGCAGCTCTGTGAGACGCAGGGAGCTTTTCTGACTCAGAATGCAAGCTTCGGAGGTAGAGCTTTTCTTTCAGCCCAGATATGATGAAAGAAGGCTTCCACGAGAGGCCGGACTTGAAATCTCCCCGAAAACGTAAAAAGCGTCCCAACTGTGCCGGCGATTACACAGGAGGATGGCTGGAGACTGAGGCGCGGAGCAACATATTTCACAGCTGGTCACGTCGCCAGGGGTCCCCGAATCGACCAGAAAGCATAAACGACGAAGCTCTTTTCTGTCTTGTCCAATACTGTACACTTGCATCAGTCGTGTCGCGTCATGCCGCGGAGAGCAGCCTGTAGTGGAACGTTTACCGAAGCACCTTTTTGCTGCCGTATAAGGGATCTTTCTCCGGAAGCCAGGAGACGCTCACGCCTCCGCGGGCGCGGAGGCATGGTTGAAAGGGTTGGTTATTGTGTACAATCTCACCAGAGCTGGAGAGATGTCTGGATCGCACTGCTGCTAGTGCACTATGTATTCTTATGCAGGCGGCTGCACATAATTGTGACCAGTTGGCCACCCCTCCCCCTCCTCAATTGAACGCCTTGTTGCCACAGCCCTGTGGGACGCAGGGAGCTTCGTAGATGTTGCCTAGAACTGTTTCAAACAGCCAAGGAGCCCACACACCCATAAACCTCCTGCAAACAGCCACAATCCGATGCACCCGTAAGCGTGCCACCAACACCCGAGCAGGGAGCACGCCCGTGAGTCTGACTCCGGTCACGTGACAGGAGCTGACGCTGGCCGATGCCGAGGAGGAGATCCCCTGTCTGTCGACCGTGCAGCAGCAGACGGCCGTGGCTCACACCTGCGCCGCCTACGCCACCATGCTGGAGGCCGGTGCGCAGCGCCAACTGCTTGATCAGCTGACCAGCGACGTCACCAGCTGGCTCGCGCAGCTGTTCAGGTAGGTGGTAGTGTGGGATCAGCAGCTGTTCAGGTGGGTGGTGGTGGGGGATCAGCAGCTGTTCAGGCGGGTGGTGGTGTGGGATCAGCAGCTGTTCAGGCGGGTGGTGGTGTGGGATCAGCAGCTGTTCAGGCGGGTGGTGGTGTGGGATCAGCAGCTGTTCAGGTGGGTATTGGTGCGGGATCAGCAGCTGTTCAGGTGGATGGTGGTGTGGAATCAGCAGCTGTTCAGGTGGATGGTGGTGTAGGATCAGCAGCTGTTCAGGTGGATGGTGGTGTGGGATCAGCAGCTGTTCAGGCGGGTGGTGGTGTAGGATCAGCAGCTGTTCAGGTGGGTGGTGGTGCGGGATCAGCAGCTGTTCAGGTGGATGGTGGTGTGGGATCAGCAGCTGTTCAGGCGGGTGGTGGTGTGGGATCAGCAGCTGTTCAGGTGGGTGGTGGTGTGGGATCAGCAGCTGTTCAGGTGGATGGTGGTGTGGGATCAGCAGCTGTTCAGGCGGGTGGTGGTGTGGAATCAGCAGCTGTTCAGGTGGGTGGTGGTGTAGGATCAGCAGCTGTTCAGGTGGGTGGTGGTGCGGGATCAGCAGCTGTTCAGGTGGATGGTGGTGTGGGATCAGCAGCTGTTCAGGCGGGTGGTGGTGTGGGATCAGCAGCTGTTCAGGTGGGTGGTGGTGTGGAATCAGTAACTGTTCAGGTGCGTGGCGATATAGGGTCAGCAGCTGTTCAGGTGTGTGGCGATGTAGGATCAGCAGCAGCTGAGACTGGCATTGCGTCGTCTTGTATCTGAAGGCCATGTCATTAACCACAGTTAACTGGACGTCATCTTAAGGTTAACTACGCGTGCTTTCTTGCGCGTCGATTGCGGTGTCCTTAACTGTCGCGCTTGGACATTGTTGTGACAAGAACTGATTGACCTGTCGCTTCAACACGTACCCTGGGTGCCGACGTTATGTGGTGATGCACATGGTGTTTCAGCCCGTGGTGACTGTGATGGTGGTGCCCCGAGGTCCACCTCAGCCCATGGTGACTGTGATGGTGGTGCCCCCAAGGTCCACCTCAGCCTGTGGTGACTGTGATGGTGGTGCCCCGAGGTCCACCTCAGCCCATGGTGACTGTGCTGGTCGTGCCCCCAAGGTCCGCCTCAGCCCGTGGTGACTGTGATGGTGGTGCCCCCGAGGCCCACCTCAGCCCTTGGTGACTGTGATGGTGGTGCCCCCGAGGCCCACCTCAGCCCGTGGTGACTGTGACAGTGGTGCTCCCGAGGTCCACCTCAGCCTGTGGTGACTGTGACAGTGGTGCTCCCGAGGTCCACCTCAGCCTGTGGTGACTGTGACAGTGGTGCCCCGAGGTCCACCTCAGCTCGTGGCGAATGTGCCGCTCTCCGCCCGCAGGCAGCCGGGGATGAGCCTCTTCGTGCCGTCGCCCAACTGCGACAGCCTGGTGGCCATGGTGCGCATGCGCCTGCACGCTCGCTACAGCTCGTGAGTGACGCTCGAGGAAGGGGCTGGGGGACACCGGAGGTCGGGTCACAGCCGCTGGGAGGACCGAGAGGCACGTGCTCCCTGGAGTCCGTAGGGGAGAGATGTCTGGCTGGTGACCTGGCATGGCCTGGTGAAGGACTTACCTCGCCTCGCTGCCTTGTGCTCTAAACGGGGTTGTATAGTGTGCCGCGGCGGAACCTCCCGCAACCGGTCATTTGGTGTTTTTCATCGTCGCTCGACTATGGTCAATCTTCAGGTTGCTGAACGGACCGGTGGCATCCTTTCCCTTCAGTCATGTTGATGCTCAGCACGGTATCCCGGTTTCCAGCTAGCTCTCCAGACCTCCTCCAGACAGCTTGCCGCCGTCGATGGCCCCCTACACTGTGTTCACCATCCCCATCCCCATTGGGGTGGCTGATAATTTGTGTACCGTAGCACGTAAATGGTCTGGTCATTGGCGTTGGCAGCCCTGGGACGTCACGGAACCAACTGCGCGAGTTGGACCAAGGTCACGGGTCCAGCGGTTTGAAGGAGAATGGTATATTTCAGGCCGAAATTGAAATTCGCACGTGCGGGTTTGGATTGGGTGTGTCTGACTCGCACCGCACAGACAGTTATCCCTGTGTTTTTGAAACAGACAGTTTATTACTGGATTGGCTATTTTGGGAGATTTTTTCTTCGGGCTCCTCGCCCGCAGCAACTGAACACGTGTCATCGGTTTGCTTTGGCTCCAGCGAACTACGGCCGTAGCAATTGTGCGGGTCACATTAAGACTTAATTCTGTCTTCGTGTCAGAACGTACCTGATCTTGTTGTATACCAACGTGGCATCCAAAACAATCCAGATTAAAGGGCGTGCAGTCAGCTTGGCAGTCGGCGTGGGCGATAAATGTCGGCTGATGCCAGCAGCGCTCTATCTTGCCGACAGACTTAAAGCCAATTTGTGTGACGCTTCAAGCTGATTTGTTTAAACGTTCGCGGACTTACGTTCGCTGCCCCGGGACATGGAGCGATACTGTTCGCGTTGAGACAGGCTTTTTTTGCACCAGAACTGTATTCGGAATGAATTGCTGGTTGTATGTTTTGACCGCTGCCGGCGTCTTGCCAAGTGTCGTATGCGTGACACCCAGTCCTGTGGATTGTCTGCAGAGCATGCTTGTGGCGGCCCCCAAAGTGCCCCTCCCCCTGAGCATTCCCCCGTCGGCAGGTACGCGGCCGTCGGGTATGAGGCGCTGTACGCACGGCCGCCGGTGGTGTACGTCAGCGCCGCCTGCCGGCCGGCGGCCGTAACCGCGCTGATGACGTCACTGGGCCTGCCCGGCGGCGCCGTGCGCCAGGTGCCGCTGAGCGCCGCCTTCGGACTGGCACACGCAATGGACGTGGCGCAGCTGCAGCGCATGATGGACGAGGACGAGAGCGCGCAGAAGGTGCCGCTGCTGGTGATGGCGCACGCAGGTGAGAGCCGCGCCGCCGCGCGAGAGCGAGAGGCCGGCCGTTTGGTGGTGCTGTTCCCGGCGCGCCGCACCGCCGCTGCTGTGTCGGTGTGCGTGTTGGTAATGCGACAAGTGCCTGTCCTGGGTTCCTCCATGCATGGTAGGACGGCTCCGGACAATTCAGGTCTTGTCGATTATCATGCTATAGTTAGTGGTTACTTTACAGCCATATATGGCCTGATCTAAAACCGTGACCCCACTGCCACAGCGCTGTCGAATACCACGACTGCCATGCGGCTTAGCCATCTCACACACGGCTGCATTTTAGACGCGCCTGGTTGCTCGACAATAGCGACCCCTCGCCCGTCCGCTAACCCCGCCGGCCGGCTGACCCGACACCACGTGGCCCGGCAGGCACGCCGGACCTAGGTCACGTGGACAACCTGCGCCGCGTCACCGAGCTGTGCCGCGAGCGCGGCGTCTGGTGCCACGTGACTGGACCCAGCCTGGCGGCGCTGGCGCTGGCGGCGTCGCGGCAGCCTCCGATGGAGCTGACGCTGGGTCAGTGGCGAGCTGACAGGCCGGCCAGCCGAGCCGGCCGCCGGGCGGCAGCGCGGCCGGTTCTGGACGGCGCAGCGTCCAGGCCCGTGCCTGGGCCATGGGTCGGCGTTCTTAACAGCATGGTTATGCGGTTATTGGCGGTAGTGAGGGTGTCGGCGCGAGGTTCACAGTACGGTCAGAGATTCCTGCAGGGGATTCGAACCTGGCCGGATTCAGAGGGTGATCAGGTAGTGATGCGTGATCCGCGCATCTGCCCTGAACAGATCGTCAGGCCCTGAACAGATCGTCAGGCCCTGAACAGATCGTCAGCGGGGGGGGGGGGGGGCATGGAGGATGCTGCGACTGAAATATGGCTTGTGGTTAGGTTAAGATACCTGTGCAATGATTAAGTATTGTTTTTTGAAATGTTGAATTATTTTGTAATGCTGAAAAAGCCAACGTGCAGGCACTTTTCGCGATTAAATTTTGTCGCTGTGGACGCCAGCAACGTCATTGTGCCGCGCTCGTTGTGTGTTACCCGGTGTGATCTTCTCTAATCCCTGTTATCACACACACACGAGGGCATCTTTCACCACCCAACTAACGTGGGAAGTCCGAACTGAACTGAACTGTAGACACGCGCCGGCACTAACTGGCACCAGCTATCACCAGCACCAGCGTTGCTAAGCTCCAGCAGTCAACAGCTGACCTACCTCCGGTGGGGCGGCCCAAAGGTCCCTTTTCCGACCAGTCCCTCGGCCGTCCGCTGTCGGCCGCCGGGTACAGGGCCGACACGTGACCGGTGGCGGGCCGACACGTGACCGGTGGCGGGGCCGACATGTGACCGGTGGCGGGCCGACACGTGACCGGTGGCGGGGCCGACACGTGACCGGTGGCGGGGACGTTACGTGACCGATGGCCCGGACGTCACGTGACCGGTGGCCGGGCCAACACTTGACCGGTGGCGGGGCCGACAGGTGACTCGCTGAGCCTGGAGCTGGGTGCCTGGCTGGAGGTGCCCTGCCTGGCGGCGGTGACGCTGTTCCGGGGCCCATTGGCCGGGCAGCCGGCCGGCCTGCCGCCGCCGGCGCCCACCCTGCTGCAGGTCATGCCGCTCTGGACGGCGCTGCTGGTGAGAGCATCGCCGCGCGCAGCGCTGGGGCGCGCCTGGGACTGCCCTGTCATCCGGGGTAGTATGGTCCGTCGTGGTCCACTGTGGTCTGCTCGGAAACACTCCGAATTACTCTGGAACACCGCGGCCTGTTCTAAAACACTGAATTATTCTGAAACACTGGCTTGCCCGAAACATCTGATGTGTGCCCCGTATTATTGGCATTCACTCACCCTGGTCTGGTCCACCCTGGTCACCACCCTGGTTCATTGACCGGCCCTGGTCCTCTCTGGTCTCGCCTGGTCTCTCTTGGTCAGCGTTGGTCTACTCACATGAGTCACCCGTACATGTGGCGGCCGCTCCTGCAGCTTTGGCGCGACCCAGACGCCCTGCACCCAGTCGTGCTCTTTTCATTGGGTCTGTGTGCAGCTCTTTTGGGACGAGTGCCGCTCGTATTGGGGACGCGTTGCTTCCAGACGTGCGTTGTGTGCCTATGGAGCCAAGTATGCAGTTCCTGGCCAAAGTGCTTTTCACTCCAGGCTGCGTGATATTCAACAGCTGTATACACTTGTACAGTTTTGTAAACTGGGCCACTTTGCGAGCGCGCCGTGTAATTGTAGCGTCCTGCGACGCTGGAAGATGCTCCCGAGTGAGGTACATCTGCTACCCTGGTCACGACTGGCGTTGTACCATGCATGTACCCTAGGCCGTGATGGCAAGTGCTGTCGTACCGGCTGAACCTCTCCCTTTATATGTCGTCTGTAGCAATGTCCTTTCCTTTTCCGTTCAGTCATCAGCTATCCGCTTTCAACAACTTTAATTCCGCGATTCTCGTCGCCCGACCCTTCCTTCTCCGTAATGCCTGCTTTGTCACGGCGTGTGTTATCCCGCGCTGCTCTTCACAGTCCCTGTCGTGTGCCCCGTGCTCGTCACAGTCCCTGTCGTGTGTCCCGTGCTCGTCACAGTCCCTGTCGTGTGTCCCGTGCTCGTCACAGTCCCTGTCGTGTGTCCCGTGCTCGTCACAGTCCCTGTCGTGTGTCTCGTTCTCGTCACAGTCCCTGTTGTGCGTCCCGTTTTCGTCACAGTCCCTGCCGTGTGTCCTGTCCTCGTCGCAGTCTCTGTCGCGTGTCCTGCCCTCGGCTCAGTACCTGCCGTGTGTCCTGTCCTCGTCGCAGTCTCTGTCGCGTGTCCTGCCCTCGGCTCAGTACCTGCCGTGTGTCCTGTCCTCGTCGCAGTCCCTGTCGCGTGTCCTGCCCTCGGCTCAGTACCTGCCGTGTGTCCTGCCCTCGGCTCAGTCCCTGCCGTGTGCCCTGCCCTCGTCGCAGTCCCTGTCGCGTGTCCTGCCCTCGGCTCAGTCCCTGCCGTGTGTCTTGCCCCCACCGCAATTCTTGTCGTTTGTCCTGCCCTCGTCACAGTCCCTGGGCCACCGCACTGTCGCGGTTGCACGAAGTGTCTGGACCCCTTATGTTGCGGTGTGTGATACAGTCTGTGGACCGCCCGTGATGCAGTCTGTGGTGGTCTGTTGTGCAGTCTGTGATGCCGTCTGTGAGTCTGACACGTCCCGTCTCCGCAGTCTCTGGGCCGCCGCGGTGTGGTGGAGCGGATCCACTCTGCGCTGGCGCTTGCCGCCGCTATCGAGTGCAGAGTGACGGCCGTCCCCAAGCTGCAGCTCCTCGTAAGTACCGAGCATGCCGACCCGCCAGAGGTGCCCGGTGATCCCATCTGGAGCTGAGACGCCCCCACCTGGTGATGAGGCTCCCGGTGCGGGCGCGGGATGGTGGGGACACCCTGGTATCAAGGGAGGTGTCCGGACGTTTATTTGCATTGCAATACATTTGCATTTAGACGTTTTGAAAAGTTTGATGTTCAATCCGCTTCGCGCATTATCCCTACAAGGGCGCGCATACACACCCGTGCGTTGATATGAGGACCTTTGGTGCAGGAGGTCACAACTGTGTGGAGCTGTGATCATTTGCGCAAACTGTATTTCTGTTGTAGCGGGCTGTGCTGGGCGGAGACCTCTAGTTTAGCTCAGTCGCGAGTTGCCACCGAGTCAGATGAGGCGAATATGGGCTGTCGTGAACCAGGGCGGAGCGAGGCGGCGGGCTAGGCAGGCCTTCAGTCTGCCAACTGAGAGTGTTGTAGCTTCAGCAGCCCGGCTGAGCAAGTACGCCTTTCAGGACCGTTTATCTTGCCATCAATGGTCGCATTGCCATGGCGTTTTCGGTAACGAGTGGCTCAATTATTTAAAGGCCGTCCTGTACTATTTGCGATGCACTTGAATGCAGGCTGTCAGATCAGGCGGTTTCACGAAAACAAGTTGAAGAATGCGTCCCGGAGGCAGGTGCCCATCTCGGCCGACAGGCATCCGAACGACCTAGGCTTAAACTGACGCAGGAAACACAATCGGCTGAAGGAGTACTGGTCGAATGGTCAGAACATCGGACTCCAGCCGGGGGCCCGGGTTCGAATCCCAGCGGAGCTATTGTTCCTAAGTGATGACTTGCGGGCCGTTGCAGTCGCTGTCGCTCCATGGGGTTGTGACAAGGGTCGTGACGACGTGCGTCAGGACGACGTGCGTTGCCGTTTTGAGGTCAGATTGCGCCACCGAATTCCAATTTGACCTCCCAGTGCCGATTTGCCTCCTGTCCCAGCGACGTAGCTACACCCATGCTGCGACCCAGACAGATAGATTGGGGCATGAAAACTACGTTGTCGAGCTCATTTTGTTGTGAGCAATATCTGCATCGAACGTTAGCGTTCGTTTCTCAATAGATTCGCCTCAGTCGCCAAAAAGTATGAACTATTTGAATGTAATTCACTTTGTCTATGAAAATTACCAGAGGTGGCAGGCCCAAAAGTAGTCAATATTCCAGTATTGTATATATAAAGAAATATATGTATATATACACACATACATATATATATATATATATATATATATATATATATATATATATATATATATATATATCTGCATATACATATATACATGTCCATACATGTATATGCAGAGAGAGAGAGAGGAGAGGAGAGAGTGAGAGGAGAGAGAGAGAGAGAGAGAGAGAGAGAGGCGCGAGAGAGAGGAGAGAGGACGGAGAGAGGAGAGAGGAGAGAAGAGGAGAGAGGGTAGAGGAGAGAGAGAGAGAGAGAGAGAGGAGAGAGAGAGAGAGGAGAGAGAGAGGAGAGATGAGGAGAGGAGAAGGAGAGAGAGGTAGAGAGACGATGAGAGGAGAGGAGGAGGGATGGAGAGAGAGAGAGAGAGAGGAGAGAGAGACGCTAGAGAGAGAGAGAGGAGAGAGAGGAGAGGGAGGGAGGGAGGGACGGGAGGAGGGAGGGAGGGAGGGAGCGGAGGGAGGGAGGGAGGGGAGGGAGGGAGTGAGGCGGGTGGAGGGGAGGGAGGGGAGGGAGGGGGAGGGAGGGAGGGAGGAGGGAGGGAGGGATGGGAGGGAGGGAGGGAGGGAGTGGAGGGATGGGAGGGAGGAGGGATGGGAGGGAGGGAGGGAGGGAGGGAGGGACGGGAGGGAGGGAGGGAGGGAGGAGGGATGGGAGGGAGGGAGGGAGGGAGGGAGGGAGGGCAGGGAGGAGGGAGGGAGGGAGGGAGGGAGGGCGAGGGAGGGATGGGAGGGAGGGAGGGAGGGAGGGAGGGAGGGAGGGAGGGAGGGAGGGAGGGATGGGAGGGAGGGAGGGAGGGAGGGAGGGAGGGAGGGAGGGAGGGAGGAGGGAGGGAGGGAGGGGAGGAGGAGGGAGGGAGGGAGGGAGGGAGGAGGAGGGAGGAGGGAGGGAGGGAGGGAGGGAGGGAGGAGGGAGGGAGGGAGGGAGGGAGGGAGGGAGGGAGGAGGGAGGGAGGGAGGGAGGGAGGGAGGGAGGGAGGGAGGGAGGGAGGGGAGGAGGGAGGGAGGGAGGGAGGGAGGGAGGGAGGGAGGGAGAGGGAGGGAGGGACGGGAGAGGGAGGGACGGGAGCGATATTAGATATATATATATATATATATATATATATATATATTATATAAATTATATATATATATATATATATATATATATATATATATATATATATATATATATATATATATATATATATATATATATATATATATATATATGGTGCCCTAACTGCGAATATATTAGCGCACCTACGACCCGTCAAACTTTAAAGAAAATGGAACCTCACAACGCATTAACCAGCCCTATGTGCGCGATTGCCGAAGGTGACAGGCTCTATTCGCTTACGTTTAGGTATCACCTGGATAGCGAAAGCAATTGCTTTGGGTATCACATCACTCGTCCCACTCCGCAAAAAAAAAATGTTGGTCCTGTTTGGTCGGATGTTGCTCTTGGTTGGGTTCAGGCAGATGTATTGGTTCGGTTGCATTTAGAAGTGTCTTTCATGTAAGCGTTCCCATGACATACGCCATCTCGTCTGTTTTATTCCCTATTTTCGTTTCATTTGGACTTCCTTTGTCAGATTTGAGACGTGACGTTGTGTTTGGCTTGAGCTTGGGACGCGCCCTAACAATAAAACGGCCTGGACCGAGCCATCAGCATGAAGTTATAACCTGTAAGTTATTAAATGTAAGACGTTCATTACACAGCAGCGTCTGTACGGCACAAATCATGCTCTGAAGTGCATTTTCGTTGGCCCGCGTGGTGGCTGCCTCGCCTGGTGTGCCTTGGATCAGGAGAAGTTGACGTAGCTGTAGCGGATTTTAACGCGTGACGAGATAGGCATTGTATGCTTTCCGTGGTGTGCTTTTTTAAACGTATCGCCTTGCGTCATGCTCCCGTCATCCCGTCAAAAATCCCGAGGTATGTTATTTTCAAACACCGCAAAGTATGTACAGTGCATGGTAGGTGCTACCCAACTTATAGCAAGAGGGACACTTCTCACAACTCAGGTACTGTCTGTCCGTGGGCCCGCATTGGGCCTCCTCGCCTCCCCCCCCCCCCCCCCCCCCCCACATACACACACAAGTGCTGCGTTGTGATGTTACGGTGACGTTCGTGCCCTTTCGCCGTCTCGCAGGCGTGATTTTATCCGCCCGACTATTTAAGCCTCCAATGACTACACAGGGGGACATGTATCAACGACACACACACATACGGACCATGCACACATCACCGCTTGGAGAACACAACTGATCTGGTCAGCGAGTTCCCGTGAAGTGGTCGTACAATCTCGTCAGCGTTAGGTGTAATCACGGCAATCAATATGCAAAGTACAGTACATCCTGCAGCACTGGTCGGGATGTTTTGATCACCCTTCCGTCTTGCGCCGCGCTCTGCGTACTCGGTCTAGTGGTACCGGACGCGGTACCCGCGGGAGCCAGTCTTCGCGTTGTAGTCGACCTGGACGCTGCTGTGGGGCAGCTGTACATAGTAGCCACCCCGCGTCCCGTGCTGGTCCCGGATCTCGTACTTGCCCTGGGGGATGTCAGAGGGGTCAGCGTGAGGTTAACTGGGGGAGGGGCGCGGGGGGGGACCCTGCGGCGATGGTGGACTGGCTGCAGGCGGTCGGCAATTGCACGAGACGCGGGTTGGCTTCAGCCGGAGTGCGCTCGGTCGACGATCGCCGTACTCACCACTATTTTGCATTTGGATGCGATTTACATTGTCTTGTTTTTGTACATCACGGTCATCTAAGAATAGCGGTGCATAGCTCTTGCCGTGAACAGTGAGAAGAGCCGGTTGTCGGGGCCAGTTATCACCCGGTGTCCCACACTCGGGTCGTCGCACCTGACGCGCCCCGGACCAGGGGTAGCGGATGTTGTAGCTGTAGCGGTAGCTCTTGCCGTGGTCGTGCGGGTGATGAACGGGGGGACGGTGGCGGTGGACGCCGTGCGGGACAGGGTGCCTGTGGTAGTACCGACCATGGCACAGTGCCACCCAGGCCACCAGGTAGAAGAAGCAACAGGAACTGATGGAAGAAGGACAGACTGTTTAGTGTCACGGGCAAACATTGCTTTCTAGGGCTGGTTAACAATTGGCATGTTTCAGTGACACTGGCAAAACTTTTTTCGGTTGGGCAGTGACAATGGCGAATGCCTTGAGTAACACGGGCAAACATTTTCGGTAGGGCAGTGACAACTGGGATGCTTGGTGGCCACTGGCAAACTTTTTTTCGGTAGGGCATTGACAACTGGGATGCTTGGTGACCACTGGCAACATTTTTCGGTAGGGCAGTGACAACTGAGGATGCTTGGTGACACTGGCAACCTTTTTTTCGGTAGGGCTAGTGACAACTGGGATGCTTGGTGACACGGGCCAAACATTTTTCGGTTAGGGCAGTGGCAATTTGCGTGTTCAGCTCCACGGATACTTTCTCTAGGGTGGCAGCAAGTGACATGTTCGGCGACACGGGCAAATATGTTCGGTACGGCACCAGCAATTGGCATGGAAGAACCCACGTGACGCAGCTGAAGGAGCTTCCTAACCGTGTGTTTACCGTACATGCGATCTGGCGTGGCTGAAGTTGGTAGCAGTTTTTGAAACGCTAATTGCCATCACCTGGCACGAGCCATCCGATCATCCGAAAGTAAAACGGTTTTCAGATGTTCAAGTATTGGCTTTCTGAGGTCTTCCACGCGTCCCGTTCGCTCAGCTTCATATTTGCGGCGCGTTTTGTGCCATAGTTGGGGAAGTAAGGTCTGGTGGTGCTGGCTATCCGGCCATCGTATTTGTGCCGTTCGGGGTGTGCGGAGATTTGCCCGAATACCTGGCTTGGTTTCTCCGTGACTGGCTGTCGTGTTCGCATGTCTGTCTGAGCATCTGTGTCCCAATGCTGGATTGCCCTGCCGTCTTTTGCGCTAAGCACTGCGCAGGGGTCTCCCCTGTCCCGTAATGGTGAACGGTATAGTGCGGAGGGAAATTAAATGCACCGTTATGGGGGGAGCGGTGACGATGTTGGAGTCCTTGATGCAAGATGGCTGGGAAAGGTAAAGGGAGATGTCTGTTCGTTTTTCGCGCCGCTGCGGGCTGGCATTTAATTTGAAAAGGGTGGGAACACTCCGGCATGGCCTACTACCCTTTCCCTGAATACAATTTAGTTTAATCCCCAGACTTGAGTGTAGTTTGCAGGAATAACTGCAACTCTGGCCTCGCGTTGAAGTGACTTACTGTGGTTGACTACAGTGGAATGCGGCTCGATGTCAATTTAATTGTGAAGACTGTTAATGGTCAGCGCTATCTGTGATGTGGTTGTTAGCTGGTCCTGTATCCGGGATATTCTCCGTGGCTGTTGCGGTCGTTCAGCAGTGTGAGGGATGTGAAGGGGCCGGCCGGTGCCGTGACCTGTGTCACTGACGGTCGTCTGCGCCGTCGCCAGAGCGCCCGGCCCGGCAAGGAGGTGGCTCCGGTGGCCGACATCGACAAACTGCTCTCCCAGTCCGTCAACTTCACGGTAAGCCCGCCGGCCCCGCCCCGGCACCGGACCGACGCCCCCGATCAGGACCGACACCTCACAGTGAGCCCGCCGGGCCCCCGCCCCGGCGCGGCGCGGCGGCGCCCTCGCGGTAAGCCCGCTGGGCCCCCGCCCCGGCGCCGGACCGACACCCCCGATCAGGACCGACACCTCACAGTAAGCCCGTTGGCCCCCGTCCCGGTGCGGCGCGGCAGCGCCCACGCGTCTGTCGGGGTCGAGGGGCCGGCGCGCCCCAGCCTGTGGGCTCTGAGGAGCTCCGTGTCCAGGACCGGTCGGACTGCCGCCTCGCAACGGCAGCTGAGACCACGCCTGGCAACAGGCCGGCCGGGTGCGGCTTCAGTCCAGCTCAGATTCCTCCGGCCTGCCGTTTAGAACTGGGATGCAGGTAGTTGCGTAGGCTTTCTCATGCTTGGGTCATGAATTGTGTTCAGCACTCGGTAGGTCAAGATTAAGAATGCCTAGCTGAAGACCAAACTAGCACCCACTACCGGAGTTCCTTCGCCAGCTAATTGCAACAGATGAACAAACATTTCGGTCAGAACAACAGTCGAAGTCGGTGGAGATAACTCGAACGAACCCTTTCTGCCCGCGTCGTGGTGGGATGGGGGGGGGGGGGGCGTTTCCCATGCATTTCCTTGCTGTTCAAGCGTTCAGCCAAGGACAGGTCTCAGAAGTACTACACTTGACTCGTGCTGAGTCGTCAGTGCATCGGGAAATAATACGAGGGTTGTTGATGGCGTCATATTATTTAGATTAAACAGATTACTATCATGTCACCACTACAGTGCAGAATGTTGCAAAATGCTAAATTTTGCTTGAAACACATAACAGACCGGCGAGGAGTATAGCGTTTGTAGTGACTGGAGGCGTTGCTGATCGTGTATGAGTGTTGATCATCTGGGTGACCAGTTTTCTAGCTTTGGCAAATCATTCGACCGCAAATTCTAAAGCCTTTGCTGATTTTGTTTGTGATATCAGTAGTGCGGTGGAACTGATGGATCGTCCAATGCAAGAAAGGAGAAATATGAATGTATGTAACGAGATATATTTTTTGGTGGGTGGGCAGTGCAAACACCTGTGGTTCCGTACAGCTGTGGCGGTGCTCGAACCTGAAAGACACGTTCGCCTTGTGTACGGTCATCGGTGGCAGCTGTGCCTTGCCAGTGGTGCCACTCTGATCGGCGCCGCCGATGTCGACAGCTCAGTTTTGTGAAAGAAGTTGAGATCTCTGCGATGGACCTGGAGCTGTACAGTGTCAGGCAAGGCGTGCCAGCGGATTACCTTCTTCCCACGCAAAACAAAACATTACCAACGCTTTCGCTTATCTCTTACCATTAAGGAGTACCGCTTCCTGTTGGGTCGTGTCGGTATTGGTTTTGTTGTCGTGCGCTCTCCTGTTTTAGTGTATTCTCCGACACAGTATACTAAACTTTGCGCATAGAGCTAACAATACGATGAGCGCGGCGCCAGTGTCGACGCCCAGAGGCGGAATGAGGCGGCGTCGCCTCGACCGATTCTGGCTTTGGGGCAAAGGTCAACGCCACGTAAAGGTCACGCCCGCATGGCATGGCGGGGCCGGGGACTAGCGAAAGAGCTGACTAGCGAGAGTCGGTCAAAATGTGTCGAAATAAAGGAGTTGTATCGAACTTTTTATGTCATTTTCGTTTGTTTTTTTTCCACCAGTTGTAAACCCCATGCTGATAGCCAAGTCTAAAGGGAGCGTCGTTAAATGTTCAACAAAAAAGGAATGGTGGATGGTGGGCGAGTATATCAGCTATCAGAAACGAGTGTTTGTCTGACAGCTAAAAGTTACAACAAAACACCGCAGGATGATTGATCTGATCTGATCTGACCGGACCAGCCCCTGTGACCTGACCTGACCTCTTCGGCCACTCTCCGTGACCTGACCACCTGCAGTGACGGTGCTTTATTTCGGCTGAAAAAATGGGCTTGTTCCGGCCTGTGTCATAGCATAGTCCGGGTTGTTTCAGCTCGTTTAAAATTTGAACTCAGCCAGTGAATCACGCGTCCGGTCAAAGGTCACCAGATTTCCGAGACACGCAACTAGGGTGCATGACGTTGCCGGATGTGCATGACGTGGACTTGTACATCCGGCACGTGCTGTAACGCGTGGTATTTTCGTTTTCAGCCTGTGCTACCGAAAAGCTTGTTTCAGTGCACCGTGCTTCACCGTTTAGTGCGGTCTGTGGGTTGTCCTTAATATTCAGGATGCTCCGGAAAAAACATGCGACGCAACGCAGCTCGTGCAATTTCTTTGGCGTACGCCGGAATTGCGGAATACGTCACCAGAACAATTATTTCCAACAAGCCGAAGATCGCATGAACGGCGCCGACAGTTTGGTTGTCTTTGTTTTCCAACTATCGATATATTTTCCCCCAATTAACCCACACGCTTCCGTCGCTGAAACCGATCACTGATGGCGACCCGACCGACATTCTGGCGGTGTATGCGTATGTGTGATGTGATGTGTGTATGAACACGGGACGCCATCTCTAGTGTGGAGAGAGGTCAGCCGACTGCTCCGTTTGTGGTTGACGCCTGTGCCTCCGCGGAGTCGCTTCGGCGCTATGCCGCACCCCGCGCTAAAGGCAACGATGTTGCCAGGTGGTGCTGGAGAGCCTGTCGCCCGTGGTCGTCTTCCGCTACAACAACGACGCCGTTGACGACATGGCCTACCTGGACAACCTCAACTCTTGGGTGAGTTGCCTGCGTCCCTTGCTCGCGTTTTGCAGCAGTTCGACCTTGTTGGGATTTGGCGATGACACGCTGAAACGAGCCGAACAGTGCATCTTCCCGATGAGTCGTCACGTGATGTAGTTATTCCATCGGCTTCGTTTCCTTTAAGTTGTGGATATGAAGCGCTGTAAGTCTTTGTTCTTTATTGCCGACATGACGCTCCTGTAGCCGTAAGGCCCGATTTCCCCCGGACACGCCCACGCTTCTCAACGCTCTACTTGGCCTCGAGCTTGCTGAGGTGTCCTGCACACGCTGCTTTCCATGCGTAATTTTCGTTGTTCATGGCGCATTCCTACAACATTACAGCACGGGCCATGGGTTTTGGCTGGAGGCTGGTCCGTGACTTGCATAAATTGAATATCACGATGTATTAAAGCAACAGTTGCGTTTCGAAAGAAACTGCGAAGAGCGTGCGTCTAGCTAGCGAAGGCCACAGCAACATTTGCAAGGTGCACTCGGCCACTGATCACTGCATGGCACTCTGCCAGCCGCACGTGGCATGTCTAAAGTGTAGAGAGGGCGTGGTCACGGCCAGTGACACTGACATTTCACCCCGCGCCCCCTGTGCTGAGCGCTGAGCGTGACACGGATACAGAGCAGGGGCTGGGACCGGCCGGACTGAGCGGCGCACACCGTCTGGCCACCGTCGACCGCTGCTCCGTACATGGATTTCCTGTCGGCAGTTTCTGTCGCGTTTTGGAGCGACCGGTGGCATATCGCTTCACGCGGTGATCCCCTGATGACACGTACTTGGCGCGGTGACGAACCTCGTGCGTCGGAATGCGGCGTGTGTTGATTCCTGTCGTGACACGTGACCCCGCCGTGACCCCGTGACTCTTGACTCGTGAATCTGCTGGTGACCCTTGAGTTGCCGTAACCTGTTCCGCTAGCCCTTCCATGAACGTACCCCCCCCCCCGCTGTGACTCATGAACTCGCTGCTCGCCCTTGACCTCGCCGTGACCCGCTAACCTGGGATCTGCCGTGACCTGTGGCCCTGTGTGACCGTGCTGTGACCCTGCCATGATTCAGGACCTGACTTCTCCGATGACACCACCACGACCCGTGACCCCACCGTGACCTGGTCGTGACTCGCCGCCGCGCCGGCAGTTGGGCCAGATCATGCAGCGTGACCTGCCGGAGGTGCCGATCCAGCTGCTGGACGTGGCCGGCAGCGGCTTCTGCCTGCGCTTCTCACCGCTGACCGAACCGTGCCGGCCGCTGGAGGACGACGTGCTCGACGAGTGGGCCGAGTGTCTCGGACAGCAGATCGTGAGTGGGCCGAGTGTCTCGGACAGCAGATCGTGAGTGAGCCGAGTGCCTCGGACAGCAGATCCTGAGTGGGCCGAGTGTCTCGGACAGCAGATCGTGAGTGGGCCGAGTGTCTCGGACAGTAGATCGTGAGTGGGCTGGTTGTCTCGGACAGCAGATCGTGAGTGGGCTGAGTGTCTCGGACAGCAGATCGTGAGAGGGCCGCCTACTACAAGTATTTACTGTTCACGGACGGATCAGCTCCAACAGAGGAAGTGTGTGGGGCACCTGGGCCGCGTGCCCCATTGGTAAAGCACCTGCCCGAGTTGCCACCTGTGACGTCACAAGTGCCTACGTCATACATGGGCAACTATTCTAACTGTAGGAGCTGTTGTGGTGCACCTTCCTGTGACGCCACAGCCCGCAGGTAACTGCGTCAAGCACGGCTTGGAGTAGAGTCACCTGTGTATGACGTTGGCACTTGCGACGTCATAGGTAGCAACTCAGGTAGGTGCTTTGCCAATGCCGCTCGCGGCCCAGCCGCCGGCGGCAGGCGACCACTTACGCGCTGCTCGGCACGTGACCCGGAAAAAGCAGGAGAGGAGGGCAAGCGGCAAGCACACGTGCTGATACTGCGACTCTGGCCTGTGCAATAACCACCCATCACTGCGGCCAGTGCGGCTGGGCGCCAGTGTGTGCGTCTGTGTCTGTGGTGCCGGTTTGTGGTGTGCAGCTGACGCCTGTAGGGCCTGCCCTACAGGCAGCTCATGAAGGGGCTCTCGGTGCTGCGCTGTTTGCGATGAGCGTTTCCTGTGACGTGGCTGTCTGCTGAGCCGGCGGTGCTGAGACCCGGTGCTGGTTGCCTGCCATGAGCGGCTGGTTTCTGTGACGTGGCTGGTGCTGTGCTGTGTGCTCAGCCGGCGGTGCTGAGACCCGGTGCTGTGCTGTCTGCCATCAACGGCTGGTTCCTGTGACGTGACTTTCTGCTGAGCCGTGCTGCCGAACAGCACGCCTGCGGGCCCGCCGCGCGGAGCCCATGTCTGCGCGTCGGCACGCCTTGACCCGAGCGGACGCGCGGCTGCAGGAGATCCTGAACGCCACGGTGCACCACCGGGCGCGGTTCGCAGAACTGACGGCGGCCGGCCAGCTGCGGGCCGTGCCGCTGCTCAACTGGGCGGGACTGGGCGCCGTCCGCTACATCCCGACCCACCTGCAGCCGCTCATGGAGGCAGGGGTCACCGACTCAGGTCAGCCGGGGTCAGACGGCGGCGCCGACTGAGATCGGGCGGGGTTGCCCACTCAGGTCAGCCGGGGTCACCGACTCAGGTCAGCCGGGGTCAGACGGCGGCGCCGACTGAGATCAGGCGGGGTTGCCCACTCAGGTCAGGTGGGGTCACCGGCTCAGGTCAGCCGGGGTCAGGCGGCGGTGCCGACTCAGATCAGGTGGGGTCGCCGACTGATGTCAGACGGGGTCGCCGACTCAGGTTAGGCGGCAGCGCTGACTGGTTAGTCGGCTCCAGGCCGCGGAATCGCCGACTAAGGTGCGGAGGCAGACAGGATCATAGGTCGACGGGGTGAAGGGGTGGGTTCACTAGACGCGGCAGGTGACACTTCCTCAGGTCAGCAGGGTGTCGAGAGGGGCGCCACGGGCGACGGTCACTGGCCCGAGCTAGCGGACCACACGGGGATGCGGAGTTTGGTCAGACCGGTGGCTTCGCGGGTGGATCCTCGCGCCGGTCGGCTGGCATGATCAGACTACAGGTGTCACTACAGGCTACGTCACGGTGTCGCACGCTGATTTACGCATCGCGGAGAATGTCCGGCAGTTATGAGATGGCGAGTCACAGACTGCCACGACCGCTCGCTCCGCAGCCTGTCGCGCTCCGCCGCGATGTCGGCGCCAGTCGTGGCTGAGTTCCCCGGGGCAGCCGAGACTGCGTGGACGGTGTTCAGTGTGCCAATAGCGGCTGTGGCCAACGCCGTCCTGTGGCACGTGGTTCGCTCCTCTTGCCCGCAGGCAAGGAGGACATCAACAAACTGAATACCGAGCTGCTGACGAAGCTGAAGTCGACTGACTCGGCCTTTTCGCTAGGTATGGATGCATCTCTGAAATCAATTTCCGACAGCCTTTCCCAGTCAGTGTACACATGACGTGGAATAGGTTCGGTGATATCGATGACCGATTAAGAAGGCCTGACTTTTCAAAAGAACGTTGATACATGAGTCGATGCGGACGGATGGTTATGATATGAACACAAGCGCTGCGCTTGCTATGTCTCGTCACACCGTTACATGTTGGAGTTTCAAGTGCGTTTGTTGTCAAAGTGTCATTCAATCACCGCTCACACGGTGTTCAGGTGAGTTCTGGCGGCGCAGGCCAGTTCCACCTACTGTGGCCCCATCTGTTGCTGGCATGCGATAACGAGTTCGTTGTGCGGTCGCCAGGCGACGGAGAGGATGGCATGGTCTGTATCCGGTTCGGCATGGTCACCATGGACACGGACGTAGACGAGCTGTGCAGCCTGCTGCTCGACCTCGGAGGGCAGATCGAGGAGTCCTCGCGCTTCCTCGAGACCATGTCCGAGATGCTCATGAAAGGTCAACGTCGCCTCCGGGGCTTGTTTATGATGTTCGGACGGCGGACTCACCCTGGGGGTGCGGATCGAACCGAATCATCACAGGGCGTCTGAACCTTGATACTTCAGCTGGTTTCGAATACTGCGTCTTTACTTGAATGGCGGGCTTCGGGCGGGCGTGATTTAACGCCGTTTGACTGAGCTGTGCCAATTAATTTCTGTAATCTGAAACCTTTTTGTTATCAGCCTTGTATTGCCTCCGTCGGCGTCGTCGCAAATGTTCATTTCCTCACACGGTAAGCTGGCACTGTAGCTTCTTCGTGCACCAGGATTTGCATTTACTGGTGATGCCGTTTACCGCAAGCGCTAGTACGATGCGGCACTGCGTTACACTGCTCACATCTTCCACACGCCTGGGAGAGCTGAGATGTTCCCCGGCCGTGTCTTTCGCCTGTCGGCGTGCTGACTCCGCTCCGGCGCGGCGCAGGCATCGAGGAGGCCAACCAGGACCTGCGCAAGGAGTCCGAGGACCAGCTGTGGCAGGAGGGCGTGCTGCGACACGTGCCGCTGGTGGGCACCATCGTCAACTGGTGGTCGCCATCGCCCAAGCCGGCCGTCAGAGGCCGCCGACTCGACCTGGCCGAAGGTCAGACCCAGCCCCGCCGGTGCAGGGGAGGGGAGGGGTCGACGGGTCGACCTGGCCGAAGGTCAGACCCAGCCCCGCCGGTGCAGGGGAGGGGAGGGGTCGACGGGTCGACCTGGCCGAAGGTCAGACCCAGCCCCGCCGGTGGACGGGAGGGGAGAGGTCGACGGGTCGACCTGGCCGAAGGTCAGACCCAGCCCCGCCGGTGCAGGGGAGGGGAGGGGTCGACGGGTCGACCTGGCCGAAGGTCAGACCCAGCCCCGTCGGTGCAGGGGAGGGGAGGGGTCGACGGGTCGACCTGGCCGAGGATCAGACCCAGCCCCGCCGGTGCAGGGGAGGGGAGAGGTCGACGGGTCGACCTGGCCGAAGGTCACCCAGCCCCGCCGGTGTAGGGGAGGGGAGGTGTCGACGGGTCGACCTGGCCGAAGGTCAGACCCAGCCCCGCCGGTGCAGGGGAGGGGAGGTCGACGGGTCGACCTGGCCGAAGGTCAGACCCAGCCCCGCCGGTGGAGGGGAAGGGAGGGGAGGTCAAACGCCCAGAGGATGACTGTGTATGTGCAGTTGATGTTTCTTGTGTTCGTGAACCGCGTTTTTCGCGTTCGTTTTCGGTCGCCCAGCTTACGTAATGTGCGTGTATTTATCAGCCGATGTGGCTGCTGCGGTCGTCGGTGTGTCACGTCCCCTGGAAATACGGATCAGCAATAGTATACTGAGAATGGAATTGAATCCAGACGCGAGTATTCATGCACCCAACGCATAGATCTCCGGCGCCGAGCCTTGTGTGTTGTCGCTCGCGCCCGCTTGCTGCGCTCTGACCCGCACCGGCCCGCAGGCGTGCTGCAGACCACCGAGGAGACGTACAAGTCCCACGTCCAGGTCCGCCGCAGCTCGTCGGCCACCGCCGGCACACAGCACTCCAGGTGAGGCCGCCGGCCGCCGTGGCCGCGCCGGCTGCTGGCCAGGCTCCCGCCGCGGCCCGCGCCGGCTGCTGGCCAGGCTCCCGCCGCGGCCGCGCCGACTGCTGGCCAGGCTCCCGCCGCGGGCGCGCCGGCTGCTGGCCAGGTCCCCGCCGGCTGCTGGCCAGGCCCCCGCCGCGGGCGCGCCCTGCCGGGACCGCGCGCTGCTGGGCCGACGCCGGCGTGCGGGAGTGGCGCGCTCTCGCGCCCGGCTCAGGGGGCAGGCCGCCGGTCGGACGGGCCGCCGTGTGTGAGCTCTGATGTTTGCGGCTCGCGGGGTGAGGCGGTTCGACGGTGCTGTGAGCCGAAGCGGACGGCGCTCGCCCTGGACTGAGCCGCGAGATCGCGTGTGTCTGCGCGAACTGAGAGCAGGGATCGGTGCGCTTTGTGCAATTTGCGAATTAGAAACTCACACGCATTTCGCTCTGCTGTGGGATTGCACACGCAATCAAAGGGCGCGACCTTGCGGTCTGAAGTGAACACCGCCGTGTCAGCTGTGTAAGTTGCGAGCGTATCTGCTGCCGTGTACCCTTCGTGCCCCTGACTGCTCCCGGCCTGGTGCGTCATGTCGAGGACGACAAGCCACCGAACGTCCTGCTGCGTACATTTGTTTTCATCACACTTTGCTGCCGTCACTACGTAAATCTTGCGCGGCGCCTGCTGGCCGGCAGTTCGCCGTCGGTATGTCGCGTGGCGAGGCCGCACTGTGCGTATCCGTCGCCCTGGCGACCACGCGGGCGTCACATCGCTCGTCGCCTCCGTTGCAGGACTTCCTCCTCGGCATCGGCGTCCGGCGGTGCGCCGGCGCCGCCGACTCCCGCGCGGCCGGAGGAGCCCCCGGCCGCCCCGGGCATCGCCACACCGGCCGCCGCCCCCGCCGCCGCCGCTTCCTCCGACCCGGCAGCCGGCGCCGCCTCCGCCCAGCCGCCGTCGCCCGTCGTCGCTCCGGCTGCCGCCGACACTCAGGCGTAACTGGCCCGCCGGTTATTTATTGCCGCCCGGCGAAGGCCGCCGGTTCATTCCTCGGTTGTGTTGTGCTGTGTTCGGTTGCGGGCTTCTTCCGGGGGGTCACCGTCGGGTTGCTGGAAGTCAGCGGGCACGCCGCGCCGCGCCGCGCCGCGCAGTGCGCCCCGATGGGGACTTGTGCGGTCTTCAGCTGAGGCTCTGTTTCTTGTTGGCGGCGCGAGATGGCAGCAGTGGTAGCCACACGGCGTCGCCTTGTTTCTGCATATGCAAGTACGTCCAATGCCTCGGACACAGTGCGTGATAGGTTCGAAGGCTGCAGCGGCTCGGTCCAGCCGAGTTTAGCGCACAGTTGGGGCGTCTGCGCACATTTCAGTAACCAAAATCACGCGCAGCCGGGCTCATCGCGCTCGGCCCTGCCAGTGCATCCAAAGAAGCTCTCTCATTCTGTCTGTGTCTCTCTCTCTCTCTCTCTCTCTCTCTCTCCATGACCGGTGGGGGTTGGGAGCGGGCGTTTGTTATCACTGCGTTTCAGTGTCGTCCAGTCTGGCCTAGCCTTGTCGTTATAGCTTCGAAGGGGCGAGCAGCCCTTGTCAACATTGGCACAGCGCCGCCTGCCGCGGGCCGCTGGTGGCGGCGTCGCGATCGGGGACGTATGGGAACTGTCGAGGCGTTGGGTTCTATACTCAGGCCCTCGGGGAGGGGCGGGGGGGAAGGGGGCATGGGCCTGCCTGTTGGACCGCCTGCGTGCGGCCGCAGCAGGAAGCCTTGCCACCCATGGCCCTCGAGCGGCCGTGCCGTCACCGAAGCTCGCTGGCTGCGGGGAGCTGACGGCCGCCGAGGCGTCCGCTGGCTGCCGCTCGGTCCGACGCTGCGGGGTGTCTGTGACGGCGGCGGCGGCGGCGGCGGCGGCTCCGGAGGCCTGACGCGTGGTCCAGCCTCGCCGGGTGCGTGGCCGGGGGGGAGACCGAGCGACGCTACAGTGGCTGACGGTGGCGGCGTGCGCTGGGACGCGACGCGGGGCAGCACGTGCGGCGGGCGGCTGGCGGCGGCACGGCCGTGGTAGCGAGCTCTGCCGCCGAGGAGGTCGCGCTCCGTTGCGATAGACATTCCAGCTGGGGCGAGGAGCCCGCCGAGATTTGCTGGTGCAGGAAATTCACGTGTTACGTTTGCCGCGAGAATCAGGTCGGATTAGATCACCGTGTGTATCTGCCGGAGGAAGCGGGCTTGGTCTTCACGCCGGGTGTGATTACCCAAATCTATGAGCAAGTGTTGCAATACATCTGCATATTATGATGCTGCGTTTCGTTACTTGCGTGGGACGGCTGTCGGATCGCGCCCTCCACAGGATCTCCGTGACCACGCGGATTACATCTCTCTGTGTAATGACTCCACACGTCAACACGCATGCACACACTCGCACTGCGGGCGTCTCCACGCCGGGTCACGTGACAGTCACGTCACGTGGACCCATGGGACGGAAGAGCGCCATTGCACGCCGTCCCGATCCCCTCTGCACCCGACGCACGGCCGCCTGCGCGACTCACGCATACGCGCACGGACACACGCGCACACGCACACCTAAGCACTAGGAAAATATACGCTTGCGGCCGCGGCGGGTTGGTTCATCTCCGGTCAGACACTGCCCCCCGCACCACGCGGTAGCCGTCCCGGCTTTGGGACGCGACCCCGGCTGGCGTGCCGGTGACCTGGAGTCAGGTCAGGTCAGGTCAGCGGCCGCGGCGGATCGCCATCGCCTTCTTTCGCTACTGGAATGCTACGTGCGCCGCGCGCGAGGCCGCCTCTTGGCGCCCTGGCGGCCACCATGTACACTACAACTGTACACCACCGACACAGCCGGCGCAGGCGGCAGACTGAGCGCCGGGGGCAATGCCGCTATCACTACGACGTCGGCACGGCCCAACGGCGCCGATCACGTGGCGGGGTCACGCCCGCGTGCAGCGGTCACGTGACATCGCCAGGCGAGCCTGCTGCGGGTGCGTGACGTAGCCGGGCCGTCCGACGCGGGTCACGTGACCGAATACAGGATATGTACGCGTCAGGCACAGATCACGTGGCAATGCGGGGCCTGTGGGTGGCCGAGTCTATGGGAGGTCACGTGGCTGCGTGGCCCGGAGAGGGCACAGTTCGGCGCAAACCACGTGACTAGGACATGCTGCCTGTCAGCTGCTGGTAGAGGCGTTGGCCCCACCACGCCTCCAGGTCGAATGGCTGGAAGTCTGCGGCGAAGAGACAGGTCGTTAGAAGCTCGTTTCTAGACAAAAAAAAGCCGCACAAATCCAGCCTCAACACGGAAGGTCAGAGGCGATCCACAAATCACGAAACGAAGAAGCACGTAGCTAACCACGTAACAAACTGAACAGATCACGCAGGTGACTGGCCTTACACCATTAGCTGAGAAATTAAAACCAGCTCAACGATATCATTGTCAAGGTCTGTCAAGGTTAGGCGTGATGGATGCGTTGCGTAATTTATGGATGGCTCCAACGGAATATACGCCCGTCTGTAAGGCAAAATATGTTGCTGGGTCTTCCTGCACCTGCGCATGCCTTTTCGTGCCCTCCTACAGGTCATCGTAAGAGCTAGCTAGCTAGAGCTAGCTTGCTCTTAGCTAGCTAGCTAGAGCCAGCTAGCTAGCTTGCTAGCTTCTTGAGCCATGCAGCTTTGTCGCCAATAACGCAAACGATTCAAACAGAGTTTAATCAGCAAAGTGCTTACGCTTCCTTCCGCAAACAACCAATCGTGTTTTGGAGATAAACGCACTCACCAACAACAAAACATCTTACACCAGGGGTGTCAGAACAGAGAACAAACATAATTTGATAGCCGGCGACGTTTCGCACATCCCGAGGCACATCCCGTGAACCGAGGAACCTCGACTTGAGCGGGCGCCAGAGCGGGCATGGTACGCGTTGAGGGTACGGGGCGCGCACGAGAATAACCCGCGCGCCGACTGTCACATGCCGCTGAGAATAGCGCTCGCACCAGGCAGCTGATTGGTTAGGAAGGTTCAGCAGCCGAAGGTTCAGCAGCCGGCGAGACAGCGCTCAGGAAGTGAGGACACAGGCTGATCAGCATAGTCACTGACAGATGTTTACCACCTGATTCGCTTATTATCAAGGCATACATTGATTGGACGTCAAGGACGGTGGCATGGAAGGACGTCCTGGACGGTGGCATGGCAGGACGTCCTGGACGGTAGCATGGCAGGACGTCCTGGACGGTGGCATGGAAGGACGTCCTGGACGGTGGCATGGCAGACGTCCTGGACGGTGGCATGGCAGGACGTCCTGGACGGTGGCATGGCAGGACGTCCTGGACGGTAGCATGGCAGGACGTCCAGGACGGTGGCATGGTAGACGTCCTGGACGGTGGCATGGCAGGACGTCCTGGACGGTGGCATGGCAGGACGTCCTGGACGGTGGCATGGCAGGACGTCCTGGACGGTGGCATGGCAGGACGTCCTGGACGGTGGCATGGCAGGACGTCCTGGACGGTAGCATGGCAGGACGTCCTGAACAGTGGCATGGCAGGACGGTGGCGGACGGCAGGACGTCCTGGATTCGCTGCAGCAGGTGCTAATGGCGAACGACTCAGGGCGAATCCAAGGGGAGGGAAAGGGGCAGTCGTCCCATCCATGGCCGTTCCATCGCCTAGCGTGGCCGTCGCAGGAGCATGGCGAGCGTCCAAGGACGCATAGGAACGGGGCAGACATCGGAAGGGGTCCCCTAACGAGCTGGGCCGCTAAAAGGACGGAGCAGGCCCCTCCTCCGGCGCTCACGCGGCTCCTATAGTTGCATTTTATGATAATTATATTGATAAACGTAAATGCAAACACCGTGGATGAGTCTTTATGACGTTTGCAGAAGTGTTTGGAACATTTGGGTGTGCTAAGGTCCCTCGCTGGTCTGAAGAGGGACCCGTATAAAAAAGACAGTGAGCCACGCCCGATGCCAAAAAACAAATTTGGAGCCTCTGAGGCGACCCCCTCCATCTCCACAGGTCACGGGGGCCGCTCTGACAAACCCTTGCCCCCTCCCCTGGCGAAACCCCGGCTCTGCGACCGTGGACTGCGCACACCCCGTTGCGAGCGGCCAGCGTCATCGCGGCCGGCCGAGTGTAATTCAGCAGCAGCGAGCCGACGCTCGAAGGGCATCACAACAGGAAGCGAGGGGAGCAGCACCGCTCGGGTATGAAAAGGCTTTTAGCGAAGTGGTACGCGGTTCGTATTGACTGATGTTCGGATGTTTGGAGACGAGGTTCTGCTTATCATCGGAATGACGAAGCAGAATTACTCGATGAGTTCGGGACCCGCGATGGGCTTCGCTGCTGAAGTTCAGATAGGTTTGGTTGTCGGGCTGACTCTGAAGTCTGAACACCATATCCGCAGCACAGTCCGGCAGATGGTACTTCAGTAGATGAGGGAGTAACCGACCTTAGGGGAAGTGCACAAGACCGTTGGACAACGCCATCGAGGCAAACCGAGCAGATATTCAGGGGATTTACTACCTTGTAGCGCTGGATGAACCTCCACCTGGTCGTAGTACAACGATTCGATGTCTGGAAGAGAAACAAGGACGTGATTACATGTCAGCAGTTACCGCTTTCGTTCCACGGCACGCAAGGACACAGCGCGTCGGCCCGCCCGCCAACCAGTGACGGGGGACGAACGGGAGCGTCGGTTTCCCTATCACACGCCAATGGCCATTAACACGGCCTCAGCGGGCTTCACCGTCACACGAACGCCCAATGGCACCCTACCAGTTACGCAGCTTAGCTGAGTGTGCCGGATGCCGGTCATGTTCAGCGCTCATTGCGAATGCACAAGACCGAGGCCAGTGGGCTGCGAGCGCATGTCAGCCGGCGAAAGCCCACTGTGGATGCCGATATGCGCTCCGGCAAACGCAGTGTTCCCTCCATGAGCATTACAGACTCATAGGAAAGCCCACATTACTCAAATCCATGCCTGGTCAGATAGGTTAGGGTAAAGCCACGACAACTTCTGAAATGTGCCGTTTTAGGCCGGATAGTAAGCTCAGCAAAAAGTAAACTATGCAAACAGTCAACATGAGCTCAAGGCACCCTGTAATCAGTTCAGTTTTCAAATGTCAGCCCGGTCATTTTGACCCATCTCCGGCCTATTCTAAGCCTACATTTTAGGTGAATACTGCCACTGGCGCACTTCCAAGGGAGCAGCGCGCCATCATGGGCGAAATGATTCCTTACTTTTGTGGAAAGATTCAGAGTGAGACGAGGCATTAGTATGGATGACATAGTTTTTTCCGGCTATCGTCCTCATTTAACATCATACCATCCACTCCTGACTGCAGTCTCAAACTCGAATGAAATTCGAGAAATACGCCGCGAAACTAAAAATATCGCAACATTAAAAATAGAACTTGTGAACTTTGCGGCTCATGTATCGCACTTCATTCAAGTATAGGGCTAAGGTCACGAGTGTACGGTAAGCCACCGACAACACAGACGCACACACTCAGAGAGTACGGTAAGCCACCGACAACACAGACGCACACACTCAGAGTGTACGGTAAGCCACCGACAACACAGACGCACACACTCAGAGAGGGTCTGCATCGAGTGTACGGTAAGCCACCGACAACACAGACGCACACACTCAGAGAGTACGGTAAGCCACCGACAACACAGACGCACACACTCAGAGAGGGTCTGCATCGAGTGTACGGTAAGCCACTGACAACACAGACGCACACACTCAGAGAGGGTCTGCATCGAGTGTACGGTAAGCCACCGACAACACAGACGCACACACTCAGAGAGGGTCTGCATCGAGTGTACGGTAAGCCGCCGACAACACAGACGCACACACTCAGAGAGGGTCTGCATCGAGTGTACGGTAAGGCACCGATAACACAGACGCACACACTCAGAGAGGGTCTGCATCGAGTGTACGGTAAGCCACCGACAACACAGACGCACACACTCAGAGAGGGTCTGCATCGAGTGTACGGTAAGCCACCGACAACACAGACGCACACACTCAGAGAGGGTCTGCATCGAGTGTACGGTAAGCCACCGACAACACAGACGCACACACTCAGAGAGGGTCTGCATCGAGTGTACGGTAAGCCACCGACAACACAGACGCACACACTCAGAGAGGGTCTGCATCGAGTGTACGGCAAGCCACCGACAACACAGACGCACACACTCAGGGTGTACGGTAAGCCACCGACAACACAGACGCACACACTCAGAGAGGGTCTGCATCGAGTGTACGGTAAGCCACCGACAACACAGACGCACACACTCAGAGAGGGTCTGCATCGAGCGTACGGTAAGCCACCGACAACACAGACGCACACACTCAGAGAGGGTCTGCATCGAGTGTACGGTAAGCCACCGACAACACAGACGCACACACTCAGAGAGGGTCTGCATCGGGCGTACGGTAAGCCACCGACAACACAGACGCACACACTCAGAGAGGGTCTGCATCGAGCGTACGGTAAGCCACCGACAACACAGACGCACACACTCAGAGAGGGTCTGCATCGAGTGTACGGTAAGGCACCGACAACACAGACGCACACACTCAGAGAGGGTCTGCATCGAGTGTACGGTAAGGCACCGACAACACAGGCGCACACACTCAGAGAGGGTCTGCATCGAGTGTACGGTAAGCCACCGACAACACAGACGCACACACTCAGAGAGGGTCTGCATCGAGCGTACGGTAAGCCACCGACAACACAGACGCACACACTCAGAGAGGGTCTGCATCGAGTGTACGGTAAGGCACCGACAACACAGACGCACACACTCAGAGAGGGTCTGCATCGAGTGTACGGTAAGGCACCGACAACACAGACGCACACACTCAGAGAGGGTCTGCATCGAGCGTACGGTAAGCCACCGACAACACAGACGCGCACACTCAGAGAGGGTCTGCATCGAGTGTACGGTAAGGCACCGACAACACAGACGCACACACTCAGAGAGGGTCTGCATCGAGCGTACGGTAAGCCACCGACAACACAGACGCACACACTCAGAGAGGGTCTGCATCGAGCGTACGGTAAGCCACCGACAACACAGACGCACACACTCAGAGAGGGTCTGCATCGAGCGTACGGTAAGCCACCGACAACACAGACGCACACACTCAGAGAGGGTCTGCATCGAGTGTACGGTAAGCCACCGACAACACAGACGCGCACACTCAGAGAAGGTCTGCATCGATAAATCGTCCTCGTTTGGTGCGTTCGAATGTCCACGGCTTTGCCAAAAAGCATGCACTCAGGAGGGGGATTGATTTGAGCCCCCATCCCACCCGCCCCCACCCATGATCTAACACCCGCACACGTGTTAATGCTCCGGCCGTTGTCAGGCGTTAGTGAGTCCCCAGAAAGACTGGATGGTGTTAGGCTTTCCGAGCATCACATACGCGTCGGAGCCCGAATGCTATCCTCAGCATGACTGGACATCGAACCAGGGCCTCCTGGCTAATAGCCCACCATTCTACCAACTGAGATAACCAGCAATTCGAATGTCAGCAATTCGAGGAACAGGATGCGGGTTGTGATCCACGTACGGCGGAATGTCAAACACCTTTCAATCTTTCCCGGGCGTAGAATTCAATAACACCTGCCGACGGTCGGAGGCTCAACTGAGGCTGAAGCGTGGTGAACATAACAGGACACCAGGCGCCGACGACACCCCGAGCATTAATTTCATCGAGAAATGACGTAACGTCAGCAGGCGCGAGCGACAGGTGGGACGTCATAAATGAGTCTGAAGATTAGAGTTAGCGCAGAAGGTTTCTGACAGCAGTTAACTGCATCACCCATGTCCAGTCATTCGCGTCGATTTTCACCTTTACATGAGCCATTAATTCAGCAAATCTTCTACGGTATATTCAAATAAGTGAGCTTAGCACGGCACAAAGATAAACAATGATAGGTTTTCAGTGCCTATGGCGAAGAATAGAAAAGTTGCATAGTTTAATCATGTGTAATCACGAGATCGGGCGACATAAAATCGAATCTGAAGCGTTGTGTGACGTACTGTAAGCGAGAATGCCTCCTCTTCTTGATCAACCCAGCATTTCAAACTCATGCCTGCCCTCGCCTCTGCCACACACGTGTGCGGATGTCGGCATCACATGTGCAACGGTTGGACGCATTTAGCAGCCCGTCGCCCCCCCCCCCCCCCCCGCCTCCCACGTCCCTCCGCGCGGTCACGTGACCGCTCGGCCCTCCATCGGCTGGGCGGAGCCAAAAATACACACTCAAATCGCTCGCCCCATGGCTGTCACTGGCGGAGCGAACGAATGCGGGGAGGATGGACGCGCGGATGGAGCTTAGAGAGGCTGGTTTACAGAGGCGCATCCAGGCCCCAAATCGCGGGGGGGGGGTGGCTCGAGGTCTAATCTCGGACAAGTCTCCCGTCGTTTCCATCGCCACTTCTGGCACGATCTGGTATTATCACACTTCTGGCAAGCGTGTCCATCGCAACTTTTAGCGCACCCAACTACATTTCCTGTGTGTCTGGCTTCCAGCATCCTGGACCCCCCAAATAACCTTACCCTGTCCGCATGGTTGCTGCTGCCTGCTGCCCGACACAACACAGGTGATCCAGCGGATAGGACGATCCTGTACCGATAGCCGTGATTAATAGCTGGGAGATTGGCTGGATCGCAAACGTAATGGCATTACGGAGCGTGACAAACAGGCCGAGAAGCGCCAAAAGCGCCAAGCGTTACTGGAAGCGCCAAAATTGTGGTTCACGGACTTGGCTGCGGATCAAGTGGGCTCAAGTCCTGCTTCAACAAAGTGCTCGCGTATTCTGCACTGGTAACGCCCGCGTATCTGTTCAAAATTTGAGATGCCCGCACGCCGTGCGTCGGAGTTTCTGCCGGGCAGGGTTCGGGTTTGGTTGGATCACTCTAGCCTAAGGATCTCACCGAGCTCACCGAGCTCTCACAGATCATCCGTCCAGTGCGTTCTTTCCCAGACCAAATATATCCGACAAATCCTCCGCCATATATCAATTCCCTACGGAATCGACTATGGTCGTTTGTCACAAGCGTCATGCTGTGTGCCTGGCTGCGTGTTTGCAACAGAAGTCGTCGGGAAGGCAATGCAGCCCTGAGCCCTGTGCCGTCGAGAGTCCTGTTTTGGTTGAATAGCTAAATTTTGACGCCCATGAGCCAGAGCTCGTAATGCGCCTACAGACCTCTACCATTGCCGCCTGCGCTGCAGCGTTACCTGCTCGGCTAGGACACGGCAGCATGTCTGACGTCAGGCTGGACAAGGCTGTTCAACCGGTTTGGGTAGAGCATGACCGGTTAAGCGGCTTAAAAAGGCATCTTTATTGCAATATATATATATAGCTACAGTTTGCCATCGATGAGGCCCTGGAGTGCGCATCCTCCTCTCGCTTCCAGATTTGTTTGATGGCTGGCATCCGTGTCCGTGTCCGTGCCCGTGCCCGTGCCCGTGCCCGTGCCCGTGCCCGTGCCCGTGCCGTGCCCGTGCCCGTGTCCGTGTCCGTGTCTGTATCTGTGTTCGTGTTCGTGTTCGTGTTCGTGTTCGTGTTCGTGTTCGTGTTCGTGTACGTGTCCGAGTCCGTGTCCGTGTCCGCGTCCGTGTCCGCGTCCGTGTCCGTGTCTGTGTCCGCGTCCGTCGTGTCCGTGTCCGCGTCCGTGTTCGCGTCCGTGTCCCTGTCCCTGGACGTGGCGACAAAGGAGTGGAACATCTAGCAAAACTGACGGAAGACACAGGGCCCGAAACACGGGTTCCGGCCATATTGTCACACATGTGAACGGTTTGATGCGCCAGAGACCTGTCGCAGCACCAACAGGAGCACATACCTCCGCCACCCGAGTCGTCTGCATTCGCATACTCTTCTTTTACTCGCCGCCATGCTGCGAACAAAGGAGGTCCGATTAGGTTGCACTCCTTATTTATGACGGCCGCCCAACAAGGTTAGCCCAACACTTTCAAACCTGCACTTACAATCGCATGTATGCTAAAAGATCCTAAGTTTTCATAACTTGAATACATTAGTTGCTGAGCGCTATGGTAATAACATGGCCTTGGCTGGGTCTGCCAAGGAACCTTATTTTACTTTTTGTTCTCGAACTAGCAGAAAATAAATGTTTCAAAAAAATGTTAAGTGCATCTCATCGGAACCATGACGCTGCAAGCTATTGGCACAGCTAGTACAGCGTAAAGATAAAACTCGTGGCACAGAACAAATGTATCAAATAAACTACGTGAATGTTCTCAAGATCCTACTGAGCGGACTTAAGAACTGTATTCGTGATAGGCTGACAACTTTTTGACGAAATTGGAGCAGAAAGTGAAGGGTCCGGGCCCACAACAACATGGAAGCATTTTTGTGATCGTACCGGTGGCCGTAGCCAGGCCAAACTCCCAGGGGGTGCACCGGTGATTCAACAAAAAGTGGACAATGCGTAAGCATGATTTTTTCGGACTGGTACACAACTATTTCCAGCTTAACAACGCTGCTTTGAATACATTCTTCGCAACTCAAGCCAGCTGGGATGCCTGGGAGGGCATGGGAGGTGATACGAAGCCAGGATAAAAAGACACAGGAAAAACATTTAAATGCATTGTCATAAGAATACCGCATGATGCATATTATATGTGAACATAGCATGGAAACGACAGCTCGACACAGGCAAACAGGCCTAATGATGGCATGACAACAAGCCGTAAAAGTATTTTTTGAACCATTTTGTACGCCTAGCATTTTATGTTGGAATGCGTGTTGGCGTCCCGCTGATTCATGAACAACACGGATGCACCCCCTTGACAAAAAGTGTGAAAATTGTTAGGCGTGGGCGACCTCTCATTATCTCATTCCTTCTGGCGCCCTTGGCACCAAAACCAAACCGTTGTCAAAAAGCCTTGGTAAAAAAGCTTCGAAACTGGCTAAATCGGACAGCTTTGCTTCTAAATACTTGAATACATCGCCATAGGAGTAGATGACACTATTCTGTAGACGAGTTATTCAGCCTTTGTTTCATACCAATTGTACTGATATCCCCTGACCAGCTGACCTAAATCAGTCAAAGCGTCAAATGTTACATATCTCTCCAAATGACTTCCTCGTGTGAGCGTGCGTGCGTGCGTGTGTGGATCAAAAACAATTATGCGTTAACTAAGCCTACATCCTTGCAAGATCGGTTAGGTCAGGTCGCAAAAAAGGTAGGTGAAGTAGGAGCCACGCCAAGTCTATCATTTCTGTGAAATAAAAGGCCTGTCAAGCCCTATTGTTGACGCAATAAGCCTGTCAAGGCTTATTGTTGAAACAATAGGTCTGTTACGACCTATTGTTGACGCAAACGTCAAGGGACCTTTACGTTAAGCAGTTCATTTTTGTAGCTCCCATTGGTAAGCACTGATCGCATTGATCGCTATATCTTAACATCAACGCAGACAGATGTTGGATAGTGGAGTCCATGCCGCATGAACCGTTCTTCCGTGACACCTACCTACTGCTAAGATACTACATTTTATTGGGATACCACACACATATGTATATTCGTCGACGCCTTCCTTATGACCGATTTAATCGTTCATGGTGAAGCATTCACAACTGTAACCGTCTCATATCTGCTGAACAAGCAGTGTGGGGCCTTGGACCCGTCTCCATAGAGCGAAGCCAGCCGACGCTGATTCGGCGTAGCTCTTGGAGCTATATCCAATTAAGCCATGACACCCATCCGTGCCACCGTCAGCGAGCCATCTGCTGAACGGTTCCAGAGCCACGACGAATAACGAAAGTAACCCATGAATAGCCCAGAAAAAATATCTCGTGAAGGTGGCAGGCCGTTGCAGATGAAAAGGCAACAACCGTACCCAACTTGCTCTAGACCACTCTCTACCAAAAACTGACGCCACACTACAGCTTTGTCCCTGCGGGAGGGTGGGACCACATTAAGTTAAGGGTACAATAACTTACCCCTCCCCCTCTTTCCTCGCTGTCTTGCAGGACAGCCATCTCATCCTGACAGAGTCCACTCGACTCAGGATACCGCCGTCACGAAAAAATCAAGCAATACCAACAAAATAAAGCATATCAGGACACCACGAAGGTCTTCACGACAGATAAACGTGCTGAAAGGTTTTGAAAAGGTTGCCAGAATATTTCTACGCACTTTAAGCATACACGTAACATTCTGTCAAGGAAATGATTGTTTTAGTGATCGGCATTCAGTGTCTCAGCCACTCAAAACAAACCAAGAATAAGTTTATGATGTGAACGACTCTTTCGACATTCGTCTTCAGTTCATCTCTTCAGTTCGCCAAAATTCTAGGATAATACCTCGGGGATTATTTGATTAGGGCTCATTCACTGTGGATCACTTTTAGGTATACAAACTTTGTAACTGTTGCGTAGCGGATCCCCAGGGACGCAGCAGGCGTAAACAAGTTAATTTTGTCGCATCTGCGTCAGACATGCCACTGAATGTGTTTAAAACGTTTCGAAAAGTTTTGGCAGGAAGAGACAGCATCACGCCGGTATCAAAATCATGATCTCGTTTACGGTCAGCCAACCGGCATTTCATCAAAATATGCATTTTTTAGAAATTATTTTACATCTCTCCGAAACACTGCTGGCCTATTCACGCGAAAACCGCCGACAAAGTTGTGCCGTTAAAAAACAAACGCTGACATATTTTCTGAGTTTTTAAAAGTACCGTCCCGTCACCTTTCGTGAAAACTGCTGATATTTTGACCGTTCCCAAACAGCAATACAGAGCTGCCCAAACGTGATCAGCAACAGTATTTTCAGTACCCTAGGTTGATGGTCATACAACAGAGCTCCGAGCTGATTTTGGGTACACCCAATGCCCCTAAAACGCGACACCGAAGATGTTTATGCATACACTTAGAGCTAGCGATTGAGCCATTCCTGGTTCAGCGGATCAGTTCTCGCCTCGCCCCAGCCGTGCAGGTTCAGCTCTCGCCTCGCCCCAACTGCGCATATTCAGTTCTCGCCTCGCCCCAGCCGTGCAGGCTCAGTTCTCGCCTCGCCCCAGCCGTGCAGGTTCAGTTCTCGCCTCGCCCCAGCCGTGCAGGTGCAGTTCTCGCCTCGCCCCAGCCGCACGGGTTTAGTTCTCGCCTAGCCCCAGCCGTGCAGGTTCAGTTCTCGCCTCGCTTCAGCTATGCAAGTTCAGCGATTCGCTTGGTGCGGCGACCCCAATTTTTCATCGGCATCACTTCAGGCTCCGTTCACATTCCCACTCTCCAACCGGCCGCTGCTCGACGCCAGCCTCCCGTCTCCCGCAGCCAGCTAACGGAGCGGCGCCGGATGCACGACCTCGCCTGGCGCCTAGCAACAGCGCGCGTGACGTCAGACGCCGGCCCACCGCGCCAGCCAATGGCGACGCGGCCGCACTGGGGCCCGGCACTGGCAGGATGTGGCGCGCGCGGGGTAGGGTAACAGTCTCCAGGCCTAGGCCCCCGGGGGCCGCGCCAAGCACCGTGCTTATACGACTCGCGACGGCTGCAGATGCAGCCGCTGCGTTTTTCATGCTAAAGAGCAGGCGACTGTCATTCGCCGACCCAGTGTAACCAGTCTTAAGTAATCAGTCCGCCTCTAATTCGGACCGGGCCGGGAGAAAACGATGCGGAGATTGAGATGCTAAAGCCGATTGTAAATGCCAAGGCCGTATGGGGCACCGCAGGTGTGAGGGAAAGGGGAAGACCTTGTGTAACAAAAGACAAACGTTATAATGAGAGGACCGTGCACCTCAACTATCAGGAGCGAAATAGCGTTTTTTGGCCAGAAATACAGTCGCCAGTCTGGTGCAGGATTAACGTGAACACAAGACATCCGCTTTACAGATGCGGTCAGTTCAGAGCTTCGGGGCCCCCAAAACACTAAGGCTGGCCGAGAAAAGATAAAAGAAAATAAGAGGCCCACATCTGCTGTGCGCTACGGCTGCTGTGTTCTAGGGGGGTTACCACGAGAGCGTCCCTCGGGCCAGGACATCTAGCCTTTGCTGGTGCTCCATGAGGGTTACTTTTGTCGGGGCTCCTCAAGGTCAGGTCCCCTTTTGTCGGGGCTCCTCAAGGTCAGGCCCCCTTTTCTACAGATGTGAGCACCCCTAGCTGGGTGGGTAGCTGACTAGTTTTACGGCCGACAGAAATACAACGCAGTTCTGCTCTGCAATTGATGCAATCGAAATTACCATTGAGCTCTGCGACAAGTTGCAAACGAAATTGTAAAATAATATCCCAGTCCGGAAAAATCAATGATGTTTCAAGTGTCAGCCTTTTTGCTGGGATGCTGGAGCACACCCTGAAAGTTTGCGTTCGCAGCAGGCCCGTAACAATAACAACTTTCAGGGAGTGCACCAGGGTACCGACAATAGGCGGACGCTTGGCTTAAACATGATCCATTTTGCCGGACTGAGATAATATTTTAAAATTTTGTTCACCATTTGCCGCAGAATTCAATATGGAGAAGGAGTACATTTCATCTTCTTGTCATGCTCATGCTCAAGTATACGGGATGCACGGAAAGCGGCCGGGTTGTACCCCAGATCCCAGGGGCTGCACGGACACCTAGTGCACCCGCCTGGCTACGGGCCTGGTTCGCGCTGCGTCCTGGCTCAATCAAGGGTCAGGGTCACGTCATGTTTGGCCCGTGTTTTTATGAGCAGCACAGAGCAGTCTCGGGCGCTGCATTCACTGGTCTGCAGCGTACATTTGTAACCGTCCGAAGCTGACAATGGTCAATCTCTTTCAGGTTGCATACGAACGGTGGGCGTTACAGTAGGGAAGAAAGTCTGTGATCATATACACGCTGTCCTGGAATACTTCAACGACACCAATATTTGCGTCGTTTATGTGCTCATTCGATGTTGAATGCTGAATTCGCGGTTATATAAAACATAAAAAGAAGCCGCTGCTTTCATGAGAACCAGCCCCGCAGGTCCTTCCAGCCCAGCAACGCTCGTTTAATGGCGCTAGTGTGCTTAGTCACGGCGCTCACATTAACTGATTGATCTCCAAGTTTTTTCGCCACCTTGACGCGCCACAATTTGTGAGTGGAGGGTCACCCTGCCCTTCCCCCCCCCCCCCCCACGCAGAGACATGCCAGACGCCCCACGGCCGGTCGGCATGGTAACAGGTCTCCAGACATGCGACCACAAAAACCTGTCATAGGAGGTCGACCCGGCACCATTTATGTAACGCGTCGCTACCAGCCCGGAGATCGGCTGGATATTCAGTCTCGTGCTGCTCTCACGTAGCCTGCCATGCCGCCTGCAAGCGTGGAAACATGGCCAGCTTCGACAAACTTGGCCCGTCGCGGCCATCGCCTAAGCAGCGGGAACCTAACTTTGGGTACCGGTTGACGTTGACAGCTTCCAAACTAACACCAGGTGGCGCTGCCAGAAGCCTGACCTTTATCCCATACAGATGAGACGAGAGGGAGCCACATGCGAGATGTGCGCATCATAGATTAACCTCTCGGCCTCCGCTATCAGTGAGTCGCACTCCACATCCCTTTCTGCAACCGAGCGACACTCGAGCTATCCCGCTGCGCAGCCGAGCGGTCCTCGAGCTATCCACTTCAGCGTGTGCTTCTGACGACGGGCTGAGGCCGTCTCATAACGCGGTAACGTGCCACAAACCGCGAGGGGTAGGGAGTTCCCACTAGGCGGGCTCATGAGACCAGGGTACTGCACGTAAAACACAGGTCTGCATGTCAGCGAGTGCAGATTTCGAGGAACACCCGAGTATTTCAGTCGATCCAGCTCCGTAATCCCAAATTACTGGCGGAGCCACCACCGTTTTTAGCATTGAGGTACTGATGTCCTTGCACTTACATAAGCTTAAAGCGAGTTAGTCAACTTGGGAAGCTGTAAACCCAGCAGTATACGAAGCGACATCCCCATCCCGACGCTTGCACGCTCGTGATAACACTGCCATGCGGGGTAACTTGAACCTTCTCAGGTTACCATTTCCTTTCTAGCCAACGGTTATTTATTCGTTTAATTAGTTATTCATTTTTATCCACATAAATTGTTTCATTTCACAGTAATTAATATCTTCATTATTAATTTGTTAACTATTTACAGTCATTTCAATGCAGTCAGTCCGCATAGGAATTATGTTACCTACTTAGAAAGTTGAAGAGCTCGCCCTTTCCCCTGGTCCCCTTACCCTGGCCCCCGGTTCCCGCAGCCCTGTATCGGTCCCCGGTCGCCGCCCGCACAGCACCGGTCCGCCGACATGACGCGGCATAAAGTAGCCGCCGTCTTCGCCGACCCCTGGACTCGAGCGCGAGCTGTCATATCTGGCCCGACACATGGCCCCACGGCAGGGCTCCGTGCGCCGCTATCAGCGCGCGGTGACGACACAGGGGCGCGCCGCTCACCGCTCTCAGCTCAGCGGCGGGCCACCCGCAGGCCGAGTCTTGGCGAGATCACTGCACGCACCACCAAGGTTCAAATTGATAAGGTGAAAATGCCGAGACCTGAGCGTGTTCCATTCAGCCGTGCATGTGTATTTACGTATGATTAGCGGCTTTGCCCCTCAGCACAGCAGCTCATCGTTGTTAGAGATTGAATCAGCAGCTGGAGCAAATAAGTTACCCTTCTGGGCTTCAAAAGACAATATTTCACTGATGTACCAAAAGCGATCAATGAACGCTCTTTAAACCCACCCGTCCGCTTCCGCAAACAGGCGCCACCAGCACCACTGCGGTGGAGGGTTGAGGTCTTGCCACAGAACGCTTCACAAAACCGCCTGCCTGCCTGGCCTGACTGCAGCGCTGCGCATACTGCTAATGAGATACAGCAAAGGTTCAAAACCGGTTTTGCCACGGGCGAATGGCCCCATAGCCCAACAAAAACGATAGCGGTGGAGTTTTGAATCGTGCTGGGTTTGCGCTGAGGGCGAGACCAGATTCAGATCTATCATGCCTGAGCTACAAGACATGCGCGGTTCGACTGAATGCGACCGAAGCACATCGACAGAAATATCTAGTGCAGGGAAGAGGCCGCCGCGTGCCCGGCATACTCACTGTGTGCCAGGTAGCGCACCACCTCCTCGTGCTGGGGTGAGATGGTGGGCGTGGGCTTGCTTCGTGAGTTTTGTCTCCGCTTCTCCGAAAACACGGGGCGCGGAGAGCTGCAATACATCACCGCGCACTGTCAACGGCAATGCCAGCTGCCACACATCCTCAGCGCACTGTCACGGACAATGTCAGCTGCAACACATCCTCAGCGCACTGTCACTGACAATGTCAGCTGCAACACATCACCCAGCGCATTGTCAAGGACAAATTCAGCTGTAACATGTCATCCAACGCACTGTCATGAACAATGCTATCTACGATATGCCATACAACGCACTGTCACGGACAATGTCAGCAGCAGCATGTCATCCAATGCACTGTCACGAGCAATGCTAGCTGGAACACATCATTCACCGCACTGCCACAAACAATGTCCGCTGGAGCATATCATTCAATGCCTGTCATGAGCACTGTTAGTTGGAACACATTATCCAACGCACTGCCACGGACAATGTTAGCTGGAGCCCGGGTGGTGCTTCGCTCCATTCTCGATCGAAAGGGTCCGTGTCCAAGGGTATTTCTCTACCCTCTGATACATGCATGCCATTGTCATATAACTTGTCATACTCTTTTGGGTGAATGATAGGGATTATTGAGTGACTGTTTCCTGGAAAAAAGTCTCGTGTGTCGCAAAATTTTGCTGGATTCCCCAGCAAACGCAATACTAACTACGCTTATTGTTCGACCCAGCAACCCATGGGCATTGTCATCGGCATGTCCGTCACCTGGCACCCTGCATCTGCTCACATTCGGCAACAAGAAAAGTCCCCCCATTCAATTCAGCCGCTAAACGTAGACATCCAGTCCGGCATCTTTTCGACACCGCAACACAACCCTCCCGTAAACCAGCAAAGCAAAACCAACAAACCGACAACCAAAAAAAAAAAACGCGCAAGCACCCCGCCAACAGGTCTGAAGCCGCAGCAACACCACACCGTGTTTCCTGGCACAGCTTCCGCAACCGATACGGAGCTCGACTGAGCTGCCAGCAGCGTAACAACGAAGCAGCTGGTTGAAAGAGACCCTGACCGGATCGAATGGGTTACAGCATCCGACTCCAGGCGGCTGGGCGGCTGCATGCCAAGTGGCGCGGGCCGGTAAACAATGCGGGACGACCCCAGTGATGCCGGTGACTCGCCGGGGGGTCACAACCTCCACCAGTTCGCCACGCGAGGGGGTCAAGACCTTCACTAGTACAACAAGCGAGGGAGTCAGGACCCTCACTAGTGCGCCACGCGAGGGGGTCAGGACCTCTACTAATGCGCCACGCGAGGAGGACAGGACCTCCGCTAGGCGCCACGCGAGGATAGTTGCAAGCATTGAATGGCAGATAGCAAGCAGTAGCATATAAACGTCTGGGAGGAACCAACCTCTCTTTTTAAGTCTACGTTTTTGCAACACCATAGGGTTATTGCAGCGATTTTAGGAGAGTCGACCCACCCTCTCACCCACTCACCTCATTTCCACGACTATTCTGGGCGAGTTAAGACAGTGAGGGCATAACAGCTAGACCCCCGGTTTGAAATTACTTCCGTGTTGATGGCCACCCACCTCTAACCATCAGCAAGGCATGTACAGGACTTGAGAAGAGAGCCACTTGCTTTGCCAGAGCGATGAACCATGAAATCATTCTACAAGTCCCAGAGATCCCAGATGTGCATACCTTAGCACTCAGCTGTGTGCTGTTGGCACTCGAGAGAGTAAATGGTCACTGAAGCCGTCTGACCGGTCAACAATAGAATAGAGTCACCTGATGACCACAGCTTGCGTACCGAGCAAGTCCAAGTACTAGAGTGTGGGCTTCATCGCCCATAATGGAGTGTAAGGAAATGCTGGATTCTTTATATCTGGTCATTTCCAATTGACAATCGTAACCACATAAAGAATAAGCATGGATCTGAAATAGCCGAGTTTCATAGTGGTAGCTTATAAAGCAACCGGGATTAATTAAAAAGAGAACTGATGTGGTGCTCGGATGTTTTTTCAAAGGAGTCCAAACGTCCTGAGTATGACGGGCATTTGGACACTCCCCGGTATTGAGCGCCATCACCGTGACCATAAGGCCTCTTGGGAGGTTCATGATGACTTCAAAGCGACATACGGAACGCTGAAGACGACTGTAACCCCGGGAAAGTAGCCCATCCATCGTCTGCTCTGGGAAGGGAGACCGCCCCCAGCGCGGTGGCGTGACACCCCCTTCCCGTGGTGTCCATTCCTGGGGGCGGAGGGATGTGACGACCCGAGTCAGTGACGCCGTGCCCCGAATGCCGGACCCCGGTTCAGGGGCGCAGGCAGGCGAAAAGGGAGAGGGCGTATTTTTCGTCGACCGCAAAAACACGAGCCTGTTAGATCCTTTGAAATATTCTGCGGGTGGGGAATGGAAAGAAAGTGAGCAGGCATCGGAAAACGATAATGTGGTATGATAAAAGGGACCGGGCATATGCCGATTATTTCTTATTACTATATATTAGAGTATTTCTCGATACATCGAGAAATACAGCAAACGATCATGCATTGCTCGCCACGGTGGCGCAGTCTCATAGAAGGTCTGTCTTCCAATTCGTCCACCCGTGGCGGGGGCTGGGTTTGAGTCGCTTTGTGCACGTGTTATTTGCCCCTGATTGGAATGGCCTGTGACCGGTGACCGTGACCTCGCTAAAGGTCAGGTGACGTCAAAGGGCAGAATGAACCGTGCCAAACACTCCGGTGCGTTGAACATTCGCCGCAAAATGTTGTTGTTGACCCTGTAATTTCACGGTCAGGTGATGGGGCCAGGGCTCACGCGACAAGCCCTGGTTAGCGTGAGTAGGCCCGGATTAAGGAAGTGGATTTCATCGACAGGCGCAAACTAAATATTAGACGCATATAAAGATGCGAACAGAGAGACATATATCAGCACAATGGAAGTGTCACGTCAGTCATTAAAAAGGCGTGAGGTGCCGCCCCCTTGCCCGCGCGCCTGGAGTCGCCGCTGCCGGGGGTCAGCTGGCGGCGGCCGGGGCTGGTGTTGGGTCGAGAGCCGTCGGCGGACAGCAGGACCGGAGACAGCTCGGCCGCCGCCCGTGCGGCCTGGCCGCCAGCCAGCGCCGGGATACCAGAGACCCGCCGTCCCCAGCTACCGATACCGACACCTGACGATTGACAGCGAGGGGCGGGCATCGCGGCCGATGCGTCGATGTGGTGTCCCTGTGGTGAGGACGCGAGGACCCAGAGGTGCGGCGCTTCACGCCTAACTTCGGCTCGCTCCGCTTTGCTTTCGATAACAACGAGCGGTGCAGCATGGAGGACACGTACTTGGTGGTGTTTTGTGAGCGATTTGATTGTGGCGCCCGTGACCTGCGACGATGGTTCCAGACGGTCTGATGCAAATCGTAAGGCCTACCTATCACCGGCTCAATCTCTCTTCTCGAATGAAAGCAAAATGTAAATGCATGCCAACTCGAATGTAGTGGACGAATGAATTTGAGTGCGTTGCCTGATTGATTCCTTGTCTTATACTGTTCACTTGCGACTTAAAATTACGCAAACGGCGTTCGAACTTTACGCCCTGCTCTAAGCAGCAGTCCTTGCGAGCCTCACAAAATGCTTGGCCCCAAATACGCCACAAGCTATCAGTCATTTTGTTTGCGCTGGCACCTAGCCATACATTTCAGTTCGGCAGGGCGCCATGGCCAAACAAGTCGCACCCTCAGCCGATCTGCGCGGGGGATTCGACAAGTTCGTCTCCCCTGCATACCACAGCACCGCAGGAGAGGAGGGGAGACGGCGAAGTTCATGCGGGACGGAGGTGCCCGCACACAAGCGGCCACCAAAATGGCATAAGACGGCCATTTTAGCCAGACAGTGCAAGATTGGCGGCACCTGCCAGCTTAATGCATCAATTCGTTTTTTACATGTGCCGCAATCAATTACCAGGAAACCCGTAGGCGATTTGTGACGTGGGTAATATTGTCATGATGTGGCACATTTTTGGCATAACATGGCCTGTCAACAACAAACGCGCATATTGTTGCTGTCATTGGAACCTACGACAGCTGCCTTGGGAACCTCTGGCTTCCCAAGCACATGTTTTTAATTTTACACCACCGGCACCGCATTCACATTTATTTTGATAGCGTGTTAAAGCCGGGACATATCCAATCTACCGTGTTTTTTACGGATGCTAGATAAAACAATGGTGCTCACTGTGACAATTATCATCACTTATTTAGCATTATATTCACAACATCTGTTCCTGTTATCGTTCATAGCACGACAAATGGCAATCCCGTCTCAGCCAAGAACTGCGCTCCAACCACTGCAATCCAGCAGCCGCCAGCTTCACAGCTTGTCCCAGCAGGGGGCGAGGGAGCACTGACCTCATCTCTGGCGAGGACGGCGGCGAGGGCTCCGAGGACGACTTCCTCGTCAGGTCACGGATGGCGTCCAAGCTCTCCAGCTTCTGTGTCAGGCCTGACAACAAGAGCTGTAGCAGTTGCTTGGTCTTCCACGATACACCGCGGGAATGGCGCTGACTTGGAAGCACCAAACTCTATTTGGCACGTGCGTTGCGTGATGTGTGTTGTGATAAAGTTCACATTGCGGATGTCGTAAAGATACGGATGTCGATGATGACGACGCAGTCACATGCGTGATTGTGGCATCAGTCCGCGCATCTAATGGAGGAATGTGCTGGCCCGTGTCATCCTCGAGGGCTCAAGGGTATGTAAGCGGGGAGGCGGAGACAGGCAGTCGGCGCACTCACGTTTCGTGGAAGTTGCCATGAGCCCTATGGTGCTGTATAAACAGACCACGCTCCTGTGCCCCGGGAGCCATTTCAGTGCAAACAGCAAAATCAGCTAATACGTCAACGATGGTTATCAGTGCAAGCAGCCCTGTGGAAAAGCTATATAACCATTATTTTATCTCAGGTTCCTGATAGTCATCTCAGAGCATGGAGGACTGGTGGTTTCAGTCTGAGCCAAGAAATGGAGAATCTGAAGACAATTTCATCTCACCAAATGTTTCGAAAGCCCGTGCACCGTCGCAACTAGGGTCACAGAAATGATATACTTAACGACTTTATCGAACGAAAATGAATTGAGAAAAATGTTGTCACAGTAATATAGTAATTTCCACGTATGAAAAAATAAATTCCAAACCACACACCGCACAGGCAATGCATCAGTTAATTCGAAGTACACAGACACACCCACAGAGAAAACGGAATGACTGCAGCAACGCGTCATTTTATGCAGTGTCGCATCGCACGGGCGTTGTATGACACAGCATGTTCGAGGATGATTTACAAATGATCATGTACGGAGCCGCGATCAACTGCTGGCGGTGCTGTTTGTTGACATAGGGCTCTTCCAAGAACAACAGCCACTTCACTCCGAACAAACAGATCAACGTCAATGAAACGCAACAGGGCACTTGGAACAAGCACCTGGCTTCCTCAACTTTGGTTCTTGTCGATGTGTTCGCAGCACAATTCTGAAGGAGTTGCGAAGAGTGGCATGTCCATCGACTTGGTAGGCGCCGATGTACAAGCAGCACGGCCTTGCCGCAGGCTGCGAGCAGCGCCTGCGCACTAACACCAGCATCGGGGGTCAGTGTGAGCCACAGCACGCGTGCAGTACCGGCCGGAGCTGTCTCCTGGTGTCCTGCGCCATCATGACAGCTCGCCTGCACCATCTCATCATGTACGCACCAGTGTTCGGAACCAGTGGGGATCTGTACATCTGCATGCATATCTGCGCATGCGCATCAGTTCACACCGTCCCCCGACGCCTGCGCAGCCCGCTGTGCGATTCGCCTCAAGTTCAACACGCGTGTATGCACGCACACGCGCCTCACTAGGAAGCCGTTACTCAGGCCCACAAGATGATGTGGTGCAGGGCTGGCCCGCGTATGTTGTTTAGCTTTCCGGGTGCAGCCGCTGCTTCGCAATACACCGCCCGAGGCGGGCAGCGCCAGACCCTGCGCGGTCGGCTCCGGCGCCAGACCCTGTGCGGTCGGCTCCACCACCAGACCCCGTGCAGTGGGCTCCGGCGCCAGGCCCTGCGTGGCCGGCTCCGGCGCCAGACCCTGTGCGGCCGGCCCCGGCGTCAGACCCTGCGCGGCCGGCTCCGGCGCCAGACCCTGCGCGGCCGGCTCCGGCGCCAGACCCTGTGCGGTCGGCTCCGGCGCCAGACCCTGCGCGGCCGGCTCCGGCGCCAGACCCTGCGCGGCCGGCTCCGGCGCCAGACCCTGTGCGGTCGGCTCCGGCGCCAGACCCTGTGCGGTCGGCTCCGGCCGTTCCAGTGTGGCACGGAGCCGAGTCTCGCGTCCTGGCAGCCGAAAAACCGACCTTCGCATATAAATACGGCCGTCAGACGACAAACACAGTCAGTGCCGGTCCAACTGCGCAGGCCGAGCCATGTTCCCATCAGCTGGCGTCCTATGACCCCCCCCCCCCTCCCTCCCCAGCCCCGAGGCTGGGGGTGCTGCGTCACTTGCAGCGTGACACCGCCGCGGCTGGATCTCGCGTGGCTGCATCGACGCAAGAGCCCCCCCCCCCCCCGAGGAACACGCCTGTCTGAGATACGTACGCGTGTGGAGGCGGCGGAGAGGGGGTGCGTTGCTGCTAGGCGGAGTGGGGACGCGTTAGTGCTAGGCGGAGTGGGGACGCGTTACTGCCGGGCGGGTATGGATGCGTGACCGCTCGACTGAGTGGGGATGCGTTCCTGATGGGCCGAGAGGGGATGCGTGACCGCTCGACTGAGTGGGGATGCGTTACTGATGGGCCGAGAGGGGATGCGTGACCGCTCGACTGAGTGGGGATGTGTTACTGCTAAGCTGAGCGGGGCGCATCACTGCTAAGCTGAGTGGGGATGTTTTACTTATTGGCACTGCGCTGTGTTGACGGACTGTTTTTCAACGGTGATAATGCGCCGCTCTGTAGCTATGGACCATTACATTTTGGCTACTGTGCGGACGCAATCCGACACATCTGTTGTTGGGTCCACACATATGTCGCCTACTCCGTGTCCAATGGCGCTAGTTAGCCTTGACATTGCCACCAGATCAGTACCAAACAGATGTCAGACAGTCATCTCTGCACCTGTGTCTCTGCTATGGGCACAGGGTCGCCGCGTCTCACACTGGCCATAGCGACGACGGGAACGTGCCACGAGGCTAATCAGGAGTAGTTGTGCGGCGGAGAGGCGCGCACTCACAACAAAAGATATCATGCGGGATCGAATGAGATTCGAAGCAGGGAATTTTACAGCAGGGAAACAGGGAATCGCCTCCGACGCTTCACTCGTCCACCCAGCCCGCTACTCTGCCGTAATCACGAAGGCATCCCCTCCGACGCTTCACTCGTCCACCCAACCCGCTACTCTGCCGTAGTCACGAAGGCATCCCCTCCGACGCTTCACTCGTCCACCCAGCCCGCTACTCTGCCGTAGTCACGAAGGCATCCCCTCCGACGCTTCACTCGTCCACCCAGCCCGCTGCTCTGCCGTAGTCACGGAGGGGTCCCCTCCGACGCTTCACTCGTCCGTCCAGCCCGCTGCTCTGCCGTAGTCACGAAGGCATCCCCTCCGATGCTTCACTCGTCCACCCAGCCCGCTACTCTGCCGTAGTCACGAAGGCATCCCCTCCGACGCTTCACTCGTCCACCCAGCCCGCTACTCTGCCGTAGTCACGAAGGCATCCCCTCCGATGCTTCACTCGTCCACCCAGCCCGCTACTCTGCCGTAGTCACGAAGGCATCCCCTCCGACGCTTCACTCGTCCACCCAGCCCGCTACTCTGCCGTAGTCACGAAGGCATCCCCTCCGATGCTTCACTCGTCCACCCAGCCCGCTACTCTGCCGTAGTCACGGAGGGATCAGGCCGTGCTTCACGGTCAGAGCCGCGTATTCGGGAAGTAGGCTGCGCCTCGTTGCGTAACGACAGGGCGTGCCGTTATCAGGTGGAGCCGACACAAGACCAGAGACAGAGACCCAGACCCAGACCCAGACCACTGGCAAGGTGGTGTCCCCGCTCTCCTCAGCTGCAATATACGCCGGACATCTGCGACACTGCTATCCATCGGAGTGACAGAGCACCTGTTCTTCCATAACTGCGAGCCAGTCAGCAGGCCGAGAGCCGCCAGCGCAGGCGGCGCTCAGCGCTTTGACCCGGTGGCACCGAACACCTGTGGACAGTGACGCAACCGTTCCCATGCACACACGTCGTGTACAAGTGTTTGGCTTTTTCCGATCGTGCAAAGCTCCTGCAGGACACTGCTTCATGGGTATCCGTTTCAGCATGAAAGGCATGGAAGCTTTAAGAGAAGGAAAGACTCCTCGAAGGTTGTATAACTTCATAGTCCAAACAGCAAGAAATTGGAATTATCACCGACCCGCGATAGATGTTCATTCGGCATTCGAAGATCGCGAAGATGATCAAAGATCATCAAGCCGCACCTTGCCTACCGTCAGAGAAAATACGGTGTTGCAAAAACATAATTAGCACACAAAAAAGCAGTGTAAGAAAGAATCGCTCAAACCTCGCAAACCTCAAAATCAAACCTCAAAAATCTTTCAAGCAATAGGACCGAAGCATGTATAATCAAACCCTTTAGTATCATGCTAACCAGAAAGGCGCCATCTATGTTCACGATGGTGGAGGAATCCTCGCATAGAGAAGCTGAAGCTCAAGTTGTGCAATGCCATGCCAACCGACCTAAGCAGCCGGCGACGGTGCGCTGCGTGAGGAGTACAGCTGGGCTGCCTGCCACGCTTTTTTCACGCGCATAACGAGACATTTTTGTGTGCAATATTTGATTACTCTCAACCAGCGTTATAAGCCTTGTCTCATCACTCCTGTGGCAGGCGTGGCGTTACAAAGGCCGGGCATCTCAAGGAAGAAGCGCCTCGCTTTTGAAAACAGTGCATGTCTGTGATGATCTCCGCCAAGCGTGAAAAGTGCAAAAGTGATGGCAGGGAACGTTTGAAAGGGCTTTTAGTACTACATTCATTGCGTAAGCCACACAGATACAAAGGCCACCGTTATATCTTAACGGTTACCGTTATATAAGTGGTGGTTACATAAGCGTCTCAGTCTCTGTTTTCGCTTTTCTCCTCCACTGGGCATGTCTGTCAAATCGAAACAGCCTCCGTCTGACCATGCGTCTGAGCGATTAGTCCGATGTGTGGGAGGAACGTGCTCATGTCATATAAGCCAGCTGTTACGCAATCATATGGTAGTGCTGGCGTACCAGCACTATTTTTTGGCGAGAGCGCGAGACAGCGGTCTGGCGCGCGCGCTACCACCAAAGTGACGTCACGGTTGGGAAGAGGTGAAAAGGACGGGTATTTTGGGATGATCGGCAGTGAACATTCATCAACAGTCAATAAGCAGTCGGCTCGGGATCGGTGGTATCTGCGTCACCTTGCTGGACGGGCAGCGCGGGCGGATAATCGATGGGATAATCGATAGCGAAATACATCGCTCTGATATCGATAAAAAGTAAACAGGGGGACATTATCGACAACGTTAATTATTTCGGGGGCTGTCACGTAATACAGCAGGCCTGCGAGATAGTTCATTTAAAAACAACGCATTGTGTCCAAGCTGGGCTTAGGCATGTAAGTGCATTGGATCAGGGACGAAGTCCTGGTTCAGTTTTCAGTGGTTCAGTATTCCCGGCTTATTTAATGGCATACTGCCTCATTGCCAACCAGAAGGTGCTTAAGGTCCGCGACAGTTAGTTTTCCGCATTATTGCGCTCTTATCGCCACGTTCAATCTAACCCAGCCTGAAACACCCACATCCGTTCCCCAAGCATCAGGACTTGGCTGACACATTACACAAGCCCGGGAGCGGTGCTCCCTCGACCTCACTGACGTCAGCCGTGACGTCAGTACTCGTGACCGAGATGGAATGAGGCAGTTACCTATCCAGACACGATCAAATGCATGACATGTTGTTCATTGTAAAAACAGCATCCTTTCAAAAACGCACCCAAAGGTGTGATGATAAGCCAAAAACGGACCGATGCGTCTCCGGATATTCAAATTATGCCTCTCCGTGGCGAGTCTCCATCAGCAGGGACCCATCTGCCTGTCTGGTGTCGGAGCTGCGGGAGTCGGTGGTGGCAGACGGGCCATTTAAACGGCCTGGCACCGTTCGACAACGCGCCCTTGGGGGGGTGGGGAGAATGGGACGGGGGGGGGGGCGTGTTCAATGTCATTCACCGGGTCGAAGGTCGCCAACAGCCACCTTGCGCCTGGTCTGTTTCAGACCAGGTACCGTTTCAGATTCAGTTTTGACAGTGTGGCGGAACTGCGCAGCAAGACGGGGACACAGCCGTCACCGTGGAGGTGGAGGTGGAGGTCATCGTCTCTGCGAACACCAGCGTCGTAACGCTTCGGCGTGACAACAGAAATCAAGCTCTCGTCCAATGACGAGGGCAGATACGCCGGCCAGCGTATACACCGCTTTGACACATCTAGCGCAGACGTCTGCGGGGCCGGGGTATCAATCCCGAGTCCGCCACAACGCGGACTAGTTTTTCAGCTGACACATTATATGGAACCTGCCACTCTTTCACCGCCCGAGCATCATTAGCGCAGGTGAAGGTGACGGCCGGGGACGCAGTGGTCCGCCCACTTTTCGTAGAAATTAACGCCCTTGCCTAACTCCACGTGACAGACTTTGCTCTATATAAACAAATTTAGTCTTATTCAATGATGGGGCATACCCTCACCACCACTGATCGTGTAATTAAATCGTGTAAAATTAAATCGTGTAGATCGTGTAAAAAAAAAATCGTGTAACAGGAGTGAGGTTGAGGAAACCTGTTGTGCAACATATTTTGTCCATCACACCTCTCGCCACTCACCTCTCCTGGTCCGCGCCACGATCTTGCTCGGTCCCTTTGACACGGTGTACATGGTGGGGCGTGTGCGTCACCGAGCGAGCCCCGCAGCACGACCCCCTCCTCCGAGCGCCGCCGCTGCGAGTCTGAGGCGGAGGCCCAGTCGGCCGCCGCCGCCGCCGCCGCCGCCGCCGGAGCCGGAGCCGGGCCCCCTGGCGCCGAGCCAGCTGATGTCGCCACCACGTGGAGATCAGCTGCCTGCCAGGGGGAGGGGCGGGCGCGTGCCGACAGGCGCCGCTAGGAGGGGGCGGCTCGAGTGGCGGCCCTGCACGCCCCTCTCGTGCTACGGTAGACTCCTACCGTCAGGAGTGCAACGACATGACTTCTACCTCCTATTCTGAACGCGACACTAATGTCACGCGACAAAATTTATTCAAAAACTTCAGCTTCAGCAGTGCTTTAGTCACGCAACAGTGCTTCAACCGTGAGGGCTTCTACGCGATATCAGTGCTGCACGACAAGACTCATGCTGTAAAAACTTGCATCCGTCATTACTTCCACTGCAAAAACTTATACAGCCTTATTATATACTTGACATTCTTCATATCACCAATACCGTTAGGCGAGAATGGCGCTGCACGGTAAAATGTTTGCTTCGGGAACTCACACCCGTCATCACTTCTACCGTAACCACGTACACTCCCTCATTTACGCACGACGCTCCTTACGCTACAGTATTTACTCTACGAGACGGAGCGGAACGGAATGAGGCAGAACAGAGCGGAACAAGACGGAACGGGATAGAATGGAACGGATCAGACGGGACGGGACGGAATGGATTGGGGCAGGTCGAGGCGGAACGGGGCAGGGCAGGGCAGGGCGGGGCAGAACAAGTGGCAAAGTAGGATAGGCAAGAGGACAGGTCAGACCAAAGCAGAACAGGGCCTTCTGAAGTTGGAACAGGACAACATTGACCTCGCCTTATTATGTCCTTTATCTTTTCACCGGTCCTGCCATCTGCCCCTACACCTCTGTCCATGTCTTCAGTGATACGCCCTCCGCACTGTCCAGGTCTTTGTCATGCCCTGTCATCCGTCCTGCATTGTCCTTTGTCATATCCCTCCCCAGCTCCATGTTGTCTTCAGTTCCGTTCTGTTTTATTATTATCATTATTATGGTACCATTATCTTATAAGTAATTTTATTATTACCATTATATTAGTGGTATTAGGAGAAGTGGTAATTATGAAATGAAATAAGAATAATACAACAAGCAGAACAAAGATATGAACATCCTTTGTGATATAATAATAGCATAAAGTAATAGCGGAATAGGAAATGATAAAGAAGCGTATAAGTAAGAGCAGCATACGCAATGTCGTGTGTAAGTCAAGACCATAAGAGTGTTTTGCAGTAGAGGTAATCAGAGAGGATAGGTCTTAAAAGCCAAATACTTGGCCGTGAAGCATTAATACCGCATAAAAGTATTGTGAGTAAAATGAGTGTCGCACTAAAGTAAAGGCCGTCGAATATTTTGCAGCTGAAGCAGTGATGGGCATAAGTCCTATCATGTAGTTAACGTTGCGTATAAGTACAGGCCGCTGAAGCAATGTTGCGTGTAAGTGAAGAACAGCGTTTTTGCAGCATGCAAAATGTCGCATAAAACTAATGCCGTCGCAGTTCTGTCGGTGGCACTATTTGCGGGCAGAACAAATGTCGTGGCACCTTGCGTTCCAGGACGAGCGGACGTCCTGTAGGACCGAGGCCCGCGGGCGTCTCGCCGACAGACGGGATCGCTGTCCCACAGACCGCTTACAGCAGTCGCTTTCGGTATTGGTTTATTACCAAAACATCCCAATTCCCTTCTGAATTACAAAGCGTGCTGATTTGATAACTAATTTTGCATCGAAACAGCGGCGTTTATATCTCGCGAACAACGGGGCACATTAAGATGGTCGAGCTTGATATTGCCGCTTTGAGGAAACTCGACTTCCCTCCTTGGCTGGTGTTACATCCATTATGGTGCAAGATGAAGTGTAAACCTCCGGTCTCATGTATGTCCAATAAGGCCACAATAAGTTTAATAAGCGCATTTTGGTATCCCATGAGCACAATGTTTACCATTGCATGCCAGATGTTTACTACTGAATGGGGATACCGTGGGTCCATTCGTTCTTGAATGACCGTTTCCGTCAACGTCCAGATTGCATGTTGCCGCTACGACCACCATCTTACCAATCTGAGGTCAGGGCAGGTGCCAATCACCATTGTGTTTGTTTAATATGAGCGTGTCACACCGTTAATGTACGGATCTGCACATGTTCACACTCACCGCACTCACCACCACGCTGACATTTCTTGTGAGTGTGGTAAATGACGTGAGAATGGTGGTTCAATCTCCCGATACATTTTCGAAAGCACAAATCGAAGGAGGCATACTGTTCCAATGAAGTTAGTAGGGCCGGCAAAACACAGCGCTGAATTTGTTTTCCCGTTGTTTAGAGACGAAATGTTCATGCTGTTCCCCAAGACTATCAGATCCCGCGTTTAGTAGCTCCATCTACCAGCTAACCTAGTTCTGTCATACGCCACCTGTGTATTGGTACCGAGCATGCTCTTCAGTGGCTTTCGGCAGCCACCACATTCGTTTTCTTTAACATTCACTGTTCTGGCTTGACCTCCCCCCCCCCCCCTCATCATCATCAGCAAAATCGCTGGCTGACAAAGACACTGGACAGTGGCGTAGCCTCACTAGCAGGCATAACGACAGCCTGGTGCTGGTGCTCGTCGGAACGTTCAGGGAGACGAACCGAGTCCCCTTAGAATGGCAACGCTACGATGGCAGTACCATCGCAACGTCTCCGCAGGGCTGCTTTACAAGCCACACCCCTGCCAGGCAAAATAAAAGGTATTTTCAGAGTGTGTTGCATACGGCTGGGATGCTTCTAATATCGGGTGGCACGCGTGTAGGCACGTGTGTACTCTCGTGCGCAAGGCTTACGTAGTGCTACGGCTCCTCAGTGCTGCTAAGGGCTGCCCATGAATAACGTTACACATTTTGACTATTTTCAATTCCCTCCCTCCCTGTGATTTAAATGTGCGCCACATACAAATTTGACCTGAATTTATAGTCCTGCAACTATTCTCTTCCTCATTGCCGTCAACATTGGTAAACGTTGATTGCGTTACGAAGGAGGAACATCCTCTTAGTCGGAAATGTCTTAAACGTTGTAAAATACATTTTGAGTAACAGTCATGCAAGCGGCCTCGGTCGTGTGGCAGCGTCATCTGTTGGCCCCAAATGATTTCATGTTTCTCGACGTCAGTAATGCCAGTATATTTTCATCGTACCTGCTTTCACTCTGGGCATCCGTTAAAAGGTGTGGCAATGGCACAGAGGTGTAAGTTGTCCTTGTTGAGTGTGACATGCTAGCCAGAGCAGTAGCGTAACGCATTATGTTTCCATGAATATAGTATGGTTTCCAGAGAATAACGGGCATTGTTGCAGCGATTGGTTTGCATTTTACATAGCATCATGTCGCGTCATTTAATTTGACGGAAACAACCAAGTGTCAGAATACCACCTATCAAACTTCCGACATGTCACACGCTCGAGCATTCCCCCTGCTTGATGAAAACGAACAAAGTCATGAGCCCTTAATATCATGAGAGCACTAGGGTTGCCGGCCATGCACAATAGCTTCGACCCGAAGACGATGCCTTTTGTCCGTGTATGGCTTGCATCCTGTATGCACAAAGAGCACAGCATCAACGAGGAGAAAGTCTTTCAGAACGCAGGATGCAGGCTGCGTAAGCAGGGTAGGAGAACGGGCGGTAGCGAACTGGTCGGCAGGGTAGGAGAACGGGCGGTAGCGAACTGGTCAGCAGGAGTGGAGTGGGTGACGCCTTCTGCACAAGTAATATTGTACAGATATAGACTTCAAGCTACTTATCAAAAATACGAAGTACAACGAAATCATTTTACCAAATCAAATAACTCCACAATAAGCTACTTAAACGACACATAAGCTGGCAACCTGTAAGATCCGTTTCCAGTTTGAAAAGAAAAAACTGCAATGAAAGGGACACGCTCATGTACTTCCGCGTGGCTGAGTCATAATTTTGATACGAGAGGTGCGCGAGACAACATTCGGAAAGACAACATCTGTTTTCCCTGTCTACTAAATCAAATGCATTGTCATCGACATCAGTCTGACCAGAGAGCACTGGAGTATGTTATCTATGTTCGTTTCAGACCAAGAGAGCTCAAGTTAACACTTTTGACTACCATGATTCATCCGTTTTCAGGGATGCTATCGAATCGAGTTTTAAATACAAAATTGAAAGCTACTAGAGCACCTGGCTAGTTTGAAACTTCGACACCAAACAATAGATGACCGCTTGGTCGGTGCAGCCAATGCTCAGCCAGCGCAGGAATTTGCATAATTGGCACCCAGCCAAGTTTTCTGGCTTGGCCTTCCGTGTTCTGGCTCGGCCCTCTGTCACCTGGCTCAGTCCTACGCATTCTGGCTTAGTCCTCCGTTTTCTGGCTTAGTCCTCCGTTCTCTGGCTTGGTTCTCCGCCTTCTGGCTTGGCCCTACGTTTTCTGGCTTGGTCCTCCGACTGCTTACTTGGTCCATTCAAGTCAATAAGGCTTATAATACCTTCTATATGTATAGTGGGAGCCGAAAGGGTGGTATAAAAACATGGAAGTATGGAGGATCTCAGAGTATGGAAGCACCCTTGACGCGGTGAGAATACGAGTTGCTGCAGTTACAAGAGAGGCCTTACGATCTGTGAACTCTGTCGCCTGCGAGACCTCTCCCTGAAAGGCTGGATTTCATGTCATAAATGCAATTCGTCCTCTAAATGAAACATATAGGTAATATGCTTCAGTGGCTAATAAAGCAAACGGTATGGTTAATGTGATTAACAGTCACAGCCAATAAACAGCAGTTGTGTAGAACATTTGTTTCGTAATATCAAGTGGTGGGTATAAGAAAGCCTGCTATTGCATTCAGTTGGCAAGACGAAACTTGGTTTATTATATTATGTCATAAACTAATGTATATATATATATATATACATATATATATATATATATATATATATATATATATATATATATACAATGCGTGAAGAAAGCAGCGACAAAGT